ATTAGTTCCTTTATGCAAGCCGGAAACGTAGAAGTCTTTGAGCCAAAGATTAATTTATTACATGTCTGCACACACAACTACATATATACATAATTACATTTTATCGTCGAGTGCAGACATTGGGGTGAAGAAATTTGACCTATCCTGAAAATCAATCTCTTATTTTGCACAATGTTCGGTGTAGTCTTTCATAAAATCCCTGAGTATGCTGAAACTTGCATTCCAGTTGACAGTAGGAATATCTAAATACGAATGACCCCCATGAAAAGCTTTCATAGTTTTAAATCATGAACAAAATTTAGATCAACAGTTACAGTAAACATGACATGACCAGTTGGACCATAGCTGTATGTGGAAGTAGAGCAGCTACATGCTAAAGGAGGAGATATTCTAAGGCCATCTAAAGTTTGCTTGTAGTTGAAAGCTTGGAAGCAAGAGATATTCTAAGGTCATCTAAAGTTTGCTTGTAGTTGAAAGCTTGGAAGCAAGAGATATTCTAAGGCCATCTAAAGTTTGTTTGTAGTTGAAAGCTTCGAAGCAAGAGATATTCTAAGGTCATCTTAAGTTAGATAATTGTAGTTGAAAGGTTCGAAGCAAGAGATATTCTAAGGTCATCTAAAGTTTGCTCGTAGTTGAAAGGTTGAAAGCAAGAGATATTCTAAGGTCATCTAAAGTTTGCTTGTAGTTGAAAGCTTCGAAGCAAGAGATATTCTAAGGTCATCTTAAGTTTGCTTGTAGTTGAAAGCTTGGAAGCAAGAGATATTCTAAGGCCATCTAAAGTTTGCTGGTAGTTTAAAGCTTTGAAGCAAGAGATATTCTAAGGTCATCTTAAGTTATATAATTGTAGTTGAAAGCTTGGAAGCAAGAGATATTCTAAGGTCATCTTAAGTTAGATAATTGTAGTTGAAAGCTTCGAAGCAAGAGATATTCTAAGGACATCTACAGTTCGATAATTATAGTTGAAAGCTTCGAAGCAAGATATATTCTAAGGTCATCTAAAGTTCGCTTGAAGTTGAAAGCTTGGAAGCAAGAGATATTCTAAGGTCATCTAAAGTTTGCTTGTAGTTGATAGCTTGGGGGCAAGAGATATTCTAAGGTCATCTAAAGTTTGCTTGTAGTTGAAAGCTTGGAAGCAAGAGATATTCTAAGGTCATCTAAAGTTTGCTTGTAGTTGAAAGCTTCGAAGCAAGAGATATTCTAAGGTCATCTTAAGTTCGATAATTGTAGTTGAAAGCTTCGAAGCAAGATATATTCTAAGGTCATCTAAAGTTTGCTTGTAGTTGAAAGCTTGGAAGCAAGAGATATTCTAAGGCCATCTAAAGTTTGCTTGTAGTTGAAAGGTTGAAAGCAAGAGATTTTCTAAGGTCATCTAAAGTTTGGATGTAGTTGAAAGCTTGGAAGCAAGAGATATTCTAAGATCATCTAAAGTTTGCTTGTAGTTGAAAGGTTGAAAACAAGAGATATTCTAAGGTCCATCTAAAGTTTGGATGTAGTTGAAAACTTGGAAGCAAGAGATGTTCTAAGGCCATCTAAAGTTTGCTGGTAGTTGAAAGTTTGGAAGCAAGAGATATTCTAAGGCCATCTAAAGTTTGCTGGTAGTTGAAAGTTTGGAAGCAAGAGATATTCTAAGGCCATCTAAAGTTTGCTGGTAGTTGAAAGCTTGGAAGCAAGATATATTCTAAGGCCATCTAAAGTTTGTTTGTAGTTAAAAGCTTGGAAGCAAGAGATATTCTAAGGCCATCTAAAGTTTGTTTGTAGTTGAAAGCTTGGAAGCAAGAGATATTCTAAGGCCATCTACAGTTTGCTGGTAGTTGGAAGCTTGGAAGCAAGAGATATTCTAAGGCCATCTAAAGTTTGCTGGTAGTTGAAAGCTTGGAAGCAAGATATATTCTAAGGCCATCTAAAGTTTGTTTGTAGTTGAAAGCTTCGAAGCAAGTGATATTCTAAGGTCATCTTAAGTTAGATAATTGTAGTTGAAAGCTTCGAAACAAGAGATATTCTAAGGTCATCTAAAGTTTGCTGGTAGTTGAAAGCTTGGAAGCAAGAGATATTCCAAGGCCATCTACAGTTCGCTGGTAGTTGAAAGTTTGGAAGCAATAGATATTCTAAGGCCATCTACAGTTTGCTGGTAGTTGAAAGGACATCTTACTACTGAGCTCTACGATAATCCGGATCCGAGAGCTTGCTCTGTTTATTTTTACTTCCGTCATATGTGTCGACTGCTGCTGGACCAAATTACAACACAGGGTTCCCAAGAACGCGGGTTGATAACTGGACAACTTTTATGGGGATCTCATTGGAAAAGACTCTATTCCTTTGTTTTATATGAAGGTTGATGTTCATGCTCACTGGTGTGCCTTGTTGTTACTTTCCGAGTTCTCGGTGTGAGGACTGACCGCAACTTGATTTGATCTAGATTTACATGGCATGTGTTTTCGATGAAGCAGAAGACTTCTACCCTTTCAGAACACATAATCTTATCAGGTATTTTCTCAATTATTACCATGTAAGTCTTTCCTTTGTTCACATTTTTTCTGTGTTTCTTGATATTGTTTTGCCCCACAAGATGGTTGACTGCTGGTAGACTATCAGTCGATGAGGTTGGCTATTGCCCTGTAGCTGGAATTCACACAGACGAGTCCAAAGTTGACGAATTGGCAACATGGTGCAGTAATATTTTACAATGACTGGCTCTCTGCATCTACGAACAAAATCTTGTTCTGCATCTACGAACAAAATGCCTCCTTTCTTCATATTACTAGCTTTTACTCTAAAGTTTTACCGACGTTGAGTTCAATCTACTGGCAGGTACGGGCGCCCCTGTTTGATGGAAACGTACTTGACGTCAATCATGAGATTAATGACTATATTTCAGAAGCACCAGCACATAGTTTGATGCTGTAAACAAACTTAGAAAAACCCTTTCAAAACCACCATTGCTTACTAAGATTGAATAATCATGAAGATATGGTGGTCCGTTGTGCGGTATCCAAACCACTGCTACTGGGTGTTTCCAGTTGTGCAAACTGTCTTTATACCAACAGTAGGAACTTGACTTACACATTTAAATGTGAAGTCAACGGGTAGAAATACTGCATCATTTAGTCAGTGTCATGTAGTATGCCAGTGAGACGTCCCTGGTGCCTAGGCAAAATGCAGCATGTCAGGGAGACTAAAATGCAACTTAATCTTCAGCAACTTAGAAGAAGCCTACGAAATTGTTGACAAGACAGCATAAAACTTAAGTTAGCTTGATCTTTCAGACCAGAATTAATGACGGAAATGACGGTCCTTAGGACCAGAAGACATGGTCTAAATGAATGGACAACTTATCCCAAGGCCTGTCCGTCATTAACTCTGGTCTGAAGGAACAAGCTTTATTTAGCCCTGCATGCTACAGAGCGGGAGGTACAGACCAAGAGTGTGTACCAGTTACACCAGTAGATGCGTCAATAGTAGTCGTAGACTAATGGTATGACGTCGACAACGGCGAGTTAACTTTAGTTTTATGCCGATTGCCTACGTACATTATTACATTATGTTGGCAATTACATCTCTCATTTGTGACCATAAAAAGTAGATCAAGGCCAGATCAATTTACATTTGACAGTTTTAAGCAGACAAATTAGTCAATATCCTTTATCCTATAATGCTATTAGCCAATTACATTGCTCTAGTCTACTTGATTATTAGTTGTTTAAAGATAAATACTGAAGCTGAATGAATGATTGATGGATGACGGACACAACACCTTGGCATACGCTCTAAAAAAATGTTATTAAGGCTTGAATCCTGTTCTGTTTTGATAAAAAAAAAATGTTTAGAATTTCTCAAATATTGGATTTGTGCACGTTGTGCAATTCTATGCCATGAAGGGTGCACATGTCTGGGAGTCCTGGTGAGTTCAATAGCTGTTGTGTATTGATAACAATGTTATAACAACAAACAAATAAATACGTGTTTAACTTTTGGAGAAAAAAAATAGTTGAAAACATTTTAGGGACTACCTCCTGCACTTATATGCCGACATATTTACATGCCAACTGGAAAATTCTTTGGTAGGTATATGGAGTCCAAGTATAGTAGCAATGTAAGTGTCGATCAATGAACTGCATCGACCTGCCTGGTAGATCAGGTAACCTGGCAACGACATCAGCAGTGTCACCAGTAGTGACATCTCTTGATAATGACTCAACACAAAGTAAGTAGTAATACATACGATTTATTCAATAACATTTCAATAAGATCTTTATGATAGGCTGCTCTGTACACTACGATAATAAATACAACAAAATGTATAACAAAGACCTATGGGTGACTCTGAGAAACACCACGTGTAGGCAGTATGCTGTATGTTTAACCAGACAGACATGGCATTAACCCCGATTTACAGTACACATAGGGGCAATGTCTGACTGGACAAACATCAGACGTACATCGGATAGACAGTGTATTTCTGATAGGACCATCCTCTATAATCCAGGGGTTAAGCTCACTTTCGCTCTCTTCACCCCCTGGAATATGTCATAGCATAATTAAAGGCACACCGATAGCTATTTGACTGGCAGGTAAAAACCCTGACCAATCACTAGGTTGTTACTTGTCCTTTGAAGAATACAAAGAAGCGAAGCCCGACTTCAAAGCAAGGAGTTTTACCGACTTCAAAGCAAGAAGTTTTACCGTTATGCGACCACAAGATTCTTTTGATGCACATCAAAAGGATCAAACTAGTCTTCTTGTCTCATCCACAAGGTGCTACACACAGAGCCTTTGATTTTGCTATGACATATTCCAGTGGTGCAGAGAGTGAAAGTGAGCGTAACCCCTGGATATGGAGGCTGTGATAGGACAGACACTGATCATCTGACAGGACAAACAATTTGTATCTAACAGGACATTAGGGACTAAACAGACAGACAAATACCGACAATCTGTAGCCAATCTATAGCTACGTGCAAGTTTAAAACGTCGTTTCTCCTTTATCAACTCCAGCACACCACAAAATATTAAAACATTTGATTTTACTTCAACACGATTACGTCTCTCTGCTGACCCTAGATGGTATCTAGAGTCAATCTCTCTGCTGACCCTAGATGGTATCTAGAGTCAATCCCAGCTGTGCTGGCAATCAGCAACAACTCACAACAGTAAACTTGTATCACCAACAAACCCATTGGTGCGTTCTCCTGAAAACATGAAGCTTACAATAACTGGACACAGGAAATTATATATAGCAACTTCACAGAGAATTATTAAAAAGAGACTCGGCTCCTCATCTTGTGACCACCCATTCTGTTTGATTATGGCTTAATGATTTTTATCGAGTGAATTCAATGGTACTTTTCAGTCGAGCTTATTAAAATCTTTTTGGGATCCCCTTGCGTCATCTGACTCTTACAGTGCTAATTGAATGGTAAATGAGTGTTTGATTGGTAAGTAATCAGCTTATATAAAACACAATCTAAGATTTTGATTCAGGATGAAAGACTCCTTTTTTGTACCAAGCCTACTTGAAGCCTGATTTTGCTTTGTTTTATTTTGAACTCTTCTAGTTTCAAAATTATATTGATGTTTTGGTTTCTTTTCAATTTTTACTTTGCATGTGACAGTATTGAGTAACTTCATCATATGAACAGAGTCATATTTTGGCAGTTATTCAGTTGTGATATCTGGAAAGCAGATGCAAATTTACAAGAGGCCCAAAAGGCCTGTCAATGCTCATCTGGATATCAAATCAATCCTCGTTTACTGCCAACATATTTCAATGTCCATTTTTTCTTGTTTTCTTTAGAATTTCTATTTACATTCCCCCCCTTTGATCGCCAAACCCAATTATAACACCAAAGTTTCTCTGGATAAATGATGCCAGTATACCAAGGTTTTACTGTATATCAAAACTTACATCTAATAAGCATGCTGGATTAAGAAATGGTTATTCAATAACTCAAAAGAAATTCATATTACAATCATCAATTTCCTAATATTTTCCCCAATGCAAATCATACTGAGAGGCTTGCAGAGTATACATAACAATTAATGTACTTGAAATCTAATGGAACTGCAGGCTAACATTTACTATATTATCTACAGGATCTTTTACGATGTTCCCCTGTACACTACCTTGTTCCCCTCTGGGCATTTCTTGGAACGGCATGAACAAAGTTTCTGTGAGAAATCAATCTCTTAGAGCTGGTTTTTGGGCTGATCAGGAATACATTATGTAACTGGAAATTCCAAATCACTGCCTGTTCAACAAATGAGTATTTACAATATTGTTTTTATATGATTTCATGTGGTCATTGACAGTTGAAAGTTTTGCAATATTGTGATTGATACTTTGCAGCAAGCTATTCTGAACTATATATTTTTTTGGAAGCGAAGCAACATTTATTTTAAACTCTTGTGTGGAGAATTTATGTATAATCACATCTATAAATAGGGAATGATGTTGAAACATTGCTTTACATATGAAATGATAAATAAGGTACACTGTGGCAACATAAATGTCAACTGTTGATAAAGTCCAGGTCAACTGCTGATCAACATTTGATTTCAGCATTTTCAATATGCTTTGATTAATTGTGAGTAAATTGTTAAATTAGAATGAAATATGAGTACAATTCGACAAACTAATCTCACAAAAAAGGGTTGTAGACAACATCTCTGATGAGAGGCCTAGGGGCAATGGACAAAGGGCCATAAAAAAGCTCACATGGCTCAAAGGGTCAAGTGAGCTTTTTATATTTTTTTGTATAAAAGTGATAAGTTTATCATAAGCAATATATGCTTCTGAAATGAACCAGACTTCCTAATTCTAATCGGACCACGTTAACAAAAAATTTAAAGGACTACTCATGCCTTTCGCCATTTCAAAACTAAGGCATCAACTGATTTCTAGACAATAAAATTACAACAGGCCCCACAATATTCTGTTTAAAGTCAAGGAAATGAACATTTGAAGTACAGAATTTCTATTTGAAGTTCTGTTGTACTGTTGATATTACTAAACACATGGCATAATTTCATGATTTCTTCAAATCTTAACAAAGACCAAACAAACTTATACATTTTTTGCTAAAGTAAATGCACAAGCAATTCCAAGTTAAAAACGCAGAATAAATTGGAGTTTGTTTTAGCTAGAGCTTTATACCACAGAGCACCCGGACTTCCTTCAATAATAAATAGTCTTAGTACGATACCAGAATACAATTTTATGTTCAGGGATTATATAATTCTGCATGGCAATTTGTGAATGATCATGTTAACCCTTTCACCCCTACGTAACTTGAGTAGACTCTACCATACATTCATCTGGATTAGTCCATGATGGTCTCAAGTGGTGAAAGGGTTGAATACTGCCTACTTCTCTTCTCAAAATGAAAATAAATTTGTTCCTCAGATATGTACACATATATAAATAAAGGCTAATTGATACAACAGTGAATCGCCTCATTATTTTTACAATAGTAAGTCATCAGTGGTTTACATGGATTTTAATCGAACTCCTCACATGTCCTTCTTTATATGAAAATTCTCTGTCTCTTCCTTTTCTGTATAACAGAAAGAAAACCAGCCCGTATCACTCACCTTGTATTCAGAAGTGGTGGCAAACATATCTCCGATCTGTGACCTTTAACGCATTCACCCCTGAAGACACATTTGAACTCCTCCAATTCAAAGGTTGGAATAGTCCATTGTAAATTTTCAGGGGTGAATAAGTTGAAGTGTATTTATACTACAAGCTAACATCATAACGCTCAGGGTTCAATCTAGGTTTTGGGGAATTTACCTTTTTGGTGATTTACGAGAGATTTTGCCCACTTAACATTAGGATCTGCACTTACAATTACAATTGAAAGAAAATAAGTTAATTTCCCAGTTCAGACAGGAAGTTTAAGACAATTACGTCTCTAGAGAAAATTTAACAACAAATAGTTAAGACTCTGACCTAGATTGGGTATGGACCCTCATTACAGGGATTGTTGTTGGATGATGTTAAGTTGTTTTACTCATGCGACCTCTAACATTGGTGAAGGTATTTGAACGATATCTGATCACCTGTTAAGTTGTTTGAAGTTTTATCACATCTCGTCCATAACCTTGAACATATTCAAGGTCAACAAACTTGGTATCCCTTTACACCAAAATGGCACTGTTTGTACAGATCCCCACCCCATGGTCCAAATATGTATTACAGGTGTAATAAATAGTTAGCGAAGCTATCTTAACCAATTTATCTGGGATCAGGGTTCTGTTTATGCCCCATTCCTTTGCTCTTCACCAGGAAACTACGGGCTAGATATCATTACTCTACACCTTATATCACAAGATGTCATGCCAGTCGAGCGTAACACCTAATGTCACAAGATGTCATGCCAGTCGAGCGTAACACCTTATGTCACAAGATGTCATGCCAGTCGAGGCTAACACCTTATGTTCCAATACGGAAATAATTGAGTTCATGACTTCATCAAGTGAAAACTTAGATCGGCCACTGTTAGCAAGAAGTAGGTTGTGACAGAAGTAACAATTTACCCAGAGAATACAGCAGTCTACGGACAACATGGCATCACAATCACAGTTTATAAACAAAATAGCGTTTCACCTTTCTCAGAACAGACATGCAGAGAAATGCTCTGCTCTTTCACACAAGTGATGTCTCCTTATCACGACCTTGGATTCGTCCCTGTAATACATTATCTGCTGTAGTACACGCGATAGTAAAGTGTCTTTGAGCGCCATAGAGAATAGGAGTTATCAAACTTGAGTAAGTAGACCCCCTGTCCAGGGTAGGCATGGCTTCCACAGTAGACCTCTTCGTGGCTGTCCCGTCTATACACTGGTATTATTTCATCAGTAGGCGGCCGGTCATCTCGCTTCGATCCTTTCTCTATATCACCCCCTTTTTCTTCAACTGAAAAAAATAAATAACATTAAACAAGCTTGCAAAATTGAAACCTTCTTTCAAGTCAAACCCTCTTCAAATTTTGACAAGATGAACTCCCAAAAACTTCACGAAAACATTGTACTAATACTTGTGTTCACAGTTGAGGCCAGACAACATGGTCTAGTACACTATCAAACAAGAGTACCACGAATTGTATTTAACACGCCTGCTGACATTATTATGGGAGTCACATAGTAAGGATCATGTCTACTTAATCTTAAGCAGTAGTGATGGAAGTTGAGTTTGCACGTGTAGAAATACTGAGGGTTTTTTATGAAATTTGGTGGACACTTTAGTAATACATATTCAAATTTTTGTCATCAAGCTTAATATTTTATGGCTAAAACCTAGATTGTATGACCTTGACGACCATTAACTTGTCTTGAGAGAAAGATGTCAGGAACACTTTACTGTGGCAAGTTTCATGTTTGCTTAAAACACTACCCAGTAACGCGAGGATATAACAAATACCTAACTTTCACCATTATCTTTTAACGGTGAAGTCATACCTGCCAAGTGACCCGATTTCGTCGGGGTTACACCCAGGATTTTAGCCCTTCACCCGCTTTTATAACTTCACCTGCCGGGTTACGATTTTGACCCGGGTTTCGTCAATTTCACCCGTTTTCACCCGGAATCTTTTTGAATATTAGAAGTTACTGAAGTCACTCGGAATTCTCTAGACTCTTCCATCCTTCTTCACAAGAAAGATGATCTATTTCCTGTTTCCGTTTCTCACCAACAGGTAAGTTGTGAGTTGTTTATATACGTACTAGAACTGTTTTTACAAATGATTATATAAAGACTGTTGTTACTGAACTTGCCTTCAAGTAATTAGTCAGGTGTTTTAACAAATAATTGAGTTGTTTTTACAATTGTATTTACATAGAATAGATCGTATTTTGAAGGTAACGTTATGTCTTCTTGAAGAAAGAAGTCATTATCGGGACTTGCAGGTTCTACTTCAGGAAATGCTAAAAGAAAAGATTGTGTGTATCAAATGTCGTAGGAAAATGAGTTATAGTGTATAAAGTCCCGCGATCGTGGACCAAACGCTGCATTCTGCACTCTAGTCAAAAACATCCACAGGCATTTAATGATTTGTTTCTGTCAATCAAAATGATCCTTACAATCAGAGTTCAAACCCTACTCGTATAAAACTGATATTTTATATGAGAAGGGTACAACTTCTTATTGTCAGGACCATTTTCATTGACAGAAACAAAATGGTATTTTATATGAGCAGAATGTGACATCTTATTGTCAGGACCATTTCAATTGACATAAAAAATGTCTGTGAAAACACAGTATCATATATATTATTATGAGTTAATTTTATAAGTTGTTGTTGACAAATCTTTTTATTTTTCAGCTTTGAATTTGGTATTGTGGATGAGGATCAGCTAGATCTGCTGGAAGAACAGTTCAATGAATGTAGAATGTAACTTTTACATCATTAAAATATTTAAGTTATAATTTAATATCTATTTTTCTTATATTTCTTGCGAAAAAAGCCGTCGCGTGCTATGACCCTCTTTTTTATTTTAAAAAGAGGGTCATCACCCTCTTTTAGTATATCTTGGGTTGGCAGGTATGTGAAGTAGTTATAATTATGACCTTGTCATTCAACTTGTCTCGATTCTGTTTTGATGTCACGAGTATTTGTATGAAGTTTCATGAAACTTAGTATAAAAATTACATCAGAAAGCTGTAGACAATCCAAATGTTGACAGAGGAATAAACGGATGGATGAACAGAAAGGACGAAGCCAATCAGAACACATTCCTGAGAAGAAACAGATTTTTACTGCAAGACAAGGGGGATCTTCCTTTGAGTTCGAAGGATCTCAAGCTAGCACATTAGCTGAGAAATCTTGGATGCCCTGTATGGACAACCCAAGATGTATATATGTGGCTACTCATTTCATTCCACTGATAGACTGAAATAATTTTGGTCGTACTGAAACCTCATTAAGATGACTTGTGCTTTTGATCAAACCAATCAAATGTCACAGAGAAGGGTCCTACCTTATACAATACTTTATAATATGAACTCACAATACTGTCTACCTAGATTTATCAAGGTAACAAATCATTATACTAATTCGGCATTGAGCTTTATCAGGTAAATTATTGAAAGACGACTCTCACCTGGTTCATCCTCGAGCTCTTCCTCATCACTCGACTCGCTGATGTGAACACTAACAGCGTTGTTGGGGGCGACTGACCACTCAAAATACACACCGAAGCCGATGTCATAATAGTCAGTGGCGAACTCCCAGAACAGGCATGTCCCATCTATGTGTGTTGGTACTCGCACCTAAAGGCAGATATCAACAAATTATCTACATGTATAACCTAAATTGTTTGCTTGGTCTATTTTGGGGGTTTGTGTTTGGTAAATAAAATATAAATACTTATTAAAATATTTCTCACTTTTTTCGTCCATCAGCAATAATATTTTCTGAAGTTCTCAAAAGTACCAAGCAATGTTCATAAAAATATCTTTTCTCAGAACCAGATAATAGTCCTTGATAGGTGTTCGCCTCACCCTGAGGTTAATTTGCAGACTATATTTTTCTGAAAGCTTATTATGTATATAAACAATCTTCTTCTTCATACCCAGGAATCTTAGAATCATATTCATGGATGGAACTCCGCTCGTATGCTTAATAACAATTGGGGAGAGAGTAACTTTTACAATAGTTCATATATGAAAGAAATAACTTTAACTTTGATTTGGGCTTTTTTCTTGGATGCAAGGGGAGGGACCAAAATGAGTAAATATGCACATTTATTTATTTTTTACTTCACTCCCATGTTGTAGGCAAATCAACAAATAATTATTTCAAAACACGTTGCAACAATAAACTCAGATGACTGAAGGTCTGTTCGCCTCATGTCTCTCAAAAGTCCCCCATCACCAAATTTCCAGCAGTGGGCATACATGTTCAAACTATCAATGAGTTTGAAAATCATCATCTTTAAAACTCCTGTTTGGGATGTTATAATCAGCTCTCATGGTCAAATATGTTTTCCTCATGCTTAAGACCTTATAATCATGCATACATGAAAAAATTAGAAAGGTTATCATGCATAAATTATGACACTACTAAACATCAAGAGACCTTTAGTACTTTTTCTACTGTACATGTATACGTACAGTATGTATTTCTAATACAGAAACCCAACAGTTCATTTGTATGACAAAACAATCATTTAAAAATTTAATTTATACACATACAAGTAATCAATTACAACATGTACACAGGGCACATCTCTACAGAACTGATCAAAGAGATGATCAATTTTACAAACTAAAAATCAAAGACAGATCAAGCAGTAAAGAAACAAAAACTAGATATGTATGGGAGTTTATGTAGTAAATAACAGAACATAGAGAGGTCTAGGGAATTTGCCCTGAAACCATCAACCAATCATAATACAAGTCTTATAAAATAGATGTGAAAACTTATAGCTCTTAATCTTCAGATACTACTATCCGTATTCAGAAGAAATTGTTTCAAGGTATCAACACCTTTGACCTCTGTGACCTTGAAAATGATTCAGGTTCATTCACCTGAAAAAACTTTATATCCCTTTTCCCTGTTAGGCTTCTGCGCAAATATGACTGATGCACTTTTTATTAATCAAAAGACCCCCCCCCCCCCAACTTTTACACATTTGACCCCTGTGACCTTGAAAGTGGGACGTGGCCATTCATTTGAACAAACTTGGTGATACCCAGCATGCTACTAATATCGTCCTCCTTTTGTGTTTTTTTAGAATTTATTTAGTTGTTTTGACACATTTGTCCCCTTGGCCAACGTATGTTCCAGACCATATTTAGTTAAAACCACTAAGTCGTTTCAGACAAGCAGGATGTTGAAGGGAAAAGTTCTCGGACGACTAGTGCTATACCACAGCATATGTTAATGTGGCACTTTGGTGGAACAAGTAAGGTAGAAACTAAATAAAACAGTAAACAAACTGAAATTATTATTTTAATAAACAAAGAAAATACAGAAATTATGCCTAAGTATGGGTGTTTGAACAAATAAGACAGAAGCAGAATAAAATTAAATGGCATCTAGATGAGAATGTTACCCGATCCCCTTGCCTTATAATTACAGTAAAATAGCAATACTTACTGTGACCGTTTCTCCCGACCCTATTTTTATTACAGCATCTTTTTCTTTACATAAAAGTTCCTTGAACTCTTTCACGTCTTTGCGTGTCCACATAGATGCCGCGGCAATGGGGGGTAACTCATCTAGAAACACAACATAAAAAAGGTTGCTAACTAAAAGTAATAGAGGACAGTGGTACTTGGCATGCAGTGCTGGCAGCTGACGTTCAGGGTCCTGTCCTAACTTAACACCATACTTGGAGAATGTTTCGCTTCGTAAATTTTACAATCTTCTTAACAAATATCCGACTTATATATAAAACTGTTGAGGAATCAAATCACTTCATCTTTTTATATAGCCTTACTGTGAATTTTCTTACAAATTATTTTCAATTCAATTTTGAAAATCTGAAAACCTTTTTACAATGTTTGAATACAGTTAAGCATGATTTTTTCAGTAAACATAAGTAAGCAGATAATTTGGCACTATTTCCAGTATAGGTAAAGTGGACAAGATACTGACGCAGCCAGCCCCCACAGAGAGTCAAACTACCTACCGTGGCGGTAGCCAGTGAGCCAATGTATATGACATTTTCTTTGCAACCCTTAACAGAATCTTTGAAGCCTTGGTTACCCTTACGGGTCCAGACTGACGGAGGTACCAGGTTAGGCATGGGAGCCGGGATTTGGTCTGAAATGTGGCAAGTGTAACTTACACTACTACACCATGTAAACAATTATCCACTGTTCACCCAAACTAAAGCATCTGTTGAGCACATTCAGCAGTGTAGGGGAACTAAGATTTGGCTTGGTCTGTGTTACCGTTTAGATTACAATAAACCCTGTTAACGGTTGTAAGGTACAAATTTCAAAACTTAAGTAAGTCTAGTGATCACACAAACAAAAGAATCTGGATGGATATAGAATCTGTTCCATTTGGTCCGCCATTTGTGTGGAGAAATACGAAACTACCACATGAAGCAGACTTAAACTGATGTTGAAACACATGGTTCTGGCCCACCCTCGCTTCTGTCAAAACTCCAAGGCATACAAAACACTGAAAATACTATCAAATACACGTATGTATGTTTTAAGTTAATCTTTTTAATGAGGGATTTTCAGTACAGAAATTTAAGGAATGATTTCAGATGCTTGTCTGCTATCTTCCATACTTCTGTCAAGGTGTAGGTATGCACAGAGCAAACAAAATGTATTCGACCACAGCTGATGAAGGGAGCAGCCTAGCTCGGAAAAATAGTTTTTTAACAATTAGAGATTGTAATTGATGTAAAATGCATCTTTTATCTTTTACAGACACGTTTTGGAAAGAGTTCTTCATAGATTTACAAAACTCACTTTGAACTTTGTGTCAGTTGTCTGGCAGATGATGAATTCTCTAATAAGAATATAACGGCAGTTATTTGCCGTTTCTAATGTAAATGGTACACCAGTGTAGCTATGGATACACCCGGCTAAAGTCTGTCAATCGAAAATCATGTCATGTTTCCCAACTATGACAATGACATAAACTCCACTACAGCACTAAACAACAATAGCCTACCTGGATGGGCATCCTCATTGCCAGGAACATGAACGGGATGATGGGTCGACATGGGTCCGTTTTCTGTGACCTCTGCAGTTGCAGCAGTAGTACTGTTGTCGCCATTTTGTAGGAGGGGCATGGCAGTATGGGTGAGCTCCGTGTGGGTCACCTGTGGTTTTGGGGGCGGGGGTCTGGCTGGTGGTTGACCTGTCTGGGCCATGCCTTGCAGCTGCTGGTACTGTTGCTGTTGATGAAACAACTGCTGTTGGTACACCTGTTGCATGTACTGCTGAAAGTGCTGCTCCTGCAGCTGGCGAATCAGCTCCTCTTGCTGTCAATAAAAAAAAGTACCAAGGCGTTAACATTCATCAGTGTGCTTTTAAAATATGACAAGCATGCAATAACATAGTCGACGACTAGCTAACCAACAAACCCTCCTACCCACTAAAACTGGTATTTTTCAGACGGTTCTTCTTTGAAACTCTTTCAAAAAAAGAAACCTGGTGTCTTATCAGCTCACCTGATTTTTTTTTTTTATTTAAAAAAAAAAAAAATGGAAATCTGTCCAATACGGTATATATGTATATCAAAAGAGTAGAGGATGTGAAAGTTGAGAACATGGGTGCTGAAATCTTGAATAGCATTACCAACTGTCTGGGGACCTGATCTGATGTCCTGTCACTTCTAATACAACAACTTGTATCACATCAGGTCATCAGCCAACAATATTCACAATTTCAGTAAAATGTCATTAGCGCCAAAACTATGGCATTTCTCTTCTTTTGCCTCCAACTGTCAGCCATTTATTTTTTACTATAGTGGTCGGGTTTGCGTACCAGAGCAGCATGTTGTAGGTATAGTACCCATCACATTTTCCTTTATTTCCCCTTCTGGTCATCTCTGCCCTTCTGACCACAGAAGAGCACCAGCCTTTATTTATAAAATTTGTACATGTATGTATTGTCAATCCCTAAGGTGGCCATGGACTGACATTCTTTTACAGAAAAACTTAACAACAAGGATGGAAAGATGATATGCTATGACATGCTGAAGTGAAGACTAGTCGAAACAGTGTGCAATGTTTTAGTGTTCTAAACACATTAATCACCCAAACTTTAACATTACCATCTTTGTTATTTGGTTTCCCTGTCTACCTTATTCTAACAAAAGGCCCCGAGGGCCTGTATCGCTCACCTGGATATTTAAGCATTCATAGCAAAATATTCTCTTTAAATATTATACTGTACTACAAATATTTCACTTGCAAATTTTGTCAGCTCCATCTGTTGAAACTACCAGCCAAATATTATTATATGATTCTATGTTTTTTGGTTCTTCTTCAGAAATTGTTTACATATTTTTCCCTGTGACCTTCTAAGTAGGTGAAGGTCATTTTACTTCTCGAACTTCTTTGGCTCTATCCCAAGAAGCTACCAGCGAAATCTTATGAATCCATTCCTTTTTGTTCTTCAGAATAAATCGTTTGAAATGTTGTTGACCTCTGTGACCTTTACAGTAGGTTGAGGTCATTTTCATTTGCAAACTTTAGTGAGCTCAATCCCAAGAATTCACCAGCCAAATATTATGATTCTATACTTTTCGATTATTCAGAAGAAGTCGTTTGATGTTTTGACATATTTGACCCCTGTGACCCTGAAAGTAGGTCACGGTAATTTTCGTTCCCAAACTTTTACAGGCTCTATCCCAGGAAGCCACCAGCCAATCATGAAGATTCTATGCCTTTAAGTTCTTCAGTAGAAGTCGTTTGAAGTGTTTGACACATTTGACCCCAGTTACCTTGAAAGTAGGTCAAGGTCATTTTGTTCTCAAACTTTTCATGGCTTTTTTCCAGGAAGCCACCCGCCAAATATGAAGATTCTACACCTGAAAGTTCTTCAGGAGAAGTTGTTTTAAGTGTTTGGACACATTTGACTCCGGTGACCTTGAAAGAAGGTCAAGGTCATTTTCATTCTCAATTTTTTTGGGCTCTATCCCAGGAAGCCACCAGCTTAGTATGAAAATTCTTTCTATATCTTTAAGTTCTTCAGTAGAATTTGTTTTAAGGGAAAGTCCCCCCCCCCCCAAATAAAAAAAAGAATTTGAACATCATGAATATTACCTATCCTACTTATGGTACATGGCAAGACGTGAAGTAGAACGTGTGAAAGTTAAATGACAGATGATGGCTGGCTGCCCAGCATCTGTCTCTAACGACACTGAATCACTGACAACATTTGAAATACATGCTAAAGAGAAGACACATCACATTGTCTAACAAGGTGGAAACATCCAAATCTACCCTCAGGAAATTCAGGCCATGATCATCCAAATATGGAAACTTACCTAGATGGTAAATATAGCAGGTCCAGCTTACAGAACAGACAACACAGCTGTATATATCCGATCAATAGAATGAACAACACTTGTACAAGTCACAGAGGGCCTACAGTGTTCACAATCTACGCATACACTGATACCTCCACTAGTAAACAGACTCGCATGTAAATAGCCAGTAGTAGTGTTATCAGGGTACAAGGGTAGACAGCTAAGAACACGGATGTGGAGAGGACAGCTGAAGGTCAATGTTAGGTGTTATAACCACCTTTAAGACATCTGTCTCTTACAGAAGCTGGTCCATTGGAGAAATGGCTGGCTGTGGCTACAGCTCTGTATCAAGCCTACCGCACACAAAGTAAATCAATAACCAACACACCACATATATACCGCTGGGTGCTGAATTCATGAAGCTGAACACATAGCTCTGCAACCACAGACAGCCAGACAGGGTTCCACAGGGTCGACTGTTTAAATACTGATGTCGTATGACATTTACTGTTCTGTGTTATCTCAAAAGTTGGCCAATACAGGGAAAAGACACAGACAAAATCTGCTCATATGGAAAATAAACTAATCAATACAACCCCTAAACATTGGGAACATGTATAACAATGCCACACCCAGACGTGACTGTAGAAATGGTAGGCTCCCACCTTTATGGATTGGTGGTGGTGGTGGTGGGATTTGGTAGGGTAGGGTTGGTTTGATATTAAATAAGATCGCTTATACCAAGCCTTCGTTCCCAGAGGGACGACTCTCCACTCATAAATAGCAGTAATATTGGCCAACAGATGCTCCAGATGAGCTGAGGCTAAAATCTGTTCGACCATTCTCAAGGAGTAGGATTTCAAAGATTTACCTAAAATTTCCTTAATAGGTCCCCCCCCTTATCCTCAGAGGAAGGCACGTGTGTATCCTCTATTCTATACAAGGTCAAGTCCGCTTGGCTCAAACCTTTTCCAGTACAGATTAGGTTATCGGTAAACCTTGAGTGACTGCGAGTAGCCAGAAAGTTTGAATACATCGTTTTTACAATAACAACAATAGTTTTCTATCTAATGATAGTTTGAGCCCTACATGCCCACATTTTGCATTATTCAAACACAAAATTTGAGAACTGATTGATTTTGGCTATTGGTGATGCAATAATAGCCTCACGAAACTCGCTCTAATTGATCTATTTTCACATTGAAAGTATTTAATAACCGAGTAATGGATAGTACTCATGATGTGCGACCAATATAATCATCTATGATGGACAATATGTACGTAAATATGCCACACGTTAGTGATGATTGAGTTTGTCACCTGTAAACATGTGCACGTGCCAGTTAAACAAATTTAGGCCCCGACTATGTATAACATCCTATCACATACATGCTATAACTTTCCGGTGCAAAATAGTGAGATCAGTGATTATTTTTAGTGAGATTTGGTCAAAAATAGTGAGATTTTTTCTCTGAATTCGTGAGAAATGTGTGAGACATTTAAAACATAAATTATATAGCATATATCATAGTATGGAATCATTTGTGCTGTTCTGAAGCCTCTAATGACTTTTTTAGAGCCAAAATTGAAGACTTTTTGATATTTTAAAAGATTTTAGGAAGGTTTACATGTGACATACAGTCCAGATAAAGCTATCAACATTTATAAGTAAATAAATCACATAAAAGTAAAAAAATAATAGTAATTAAAAAAAAAAAAAAAAAAATCCACTGGGATGTCCTTATTAACCCAGGTTAGAAAAAATATATCTCAAAACATTGGGAATATTTAATTTTAATTTGTTGGGAAAAAAATAACCAATAAATACTATTTTTATTTATCCAATTCTGAAGAAACTTGTTTCTTCTGTGTATGTTATATTCATTAAAACTCAATTCCATCCCGACAGCAAGAGAATGAATTCCGGATTCAATGTCAGTGCCCGGTTTCGATTTTATAGTCGCTTCCAACATTTTTCGTTTCGGTATTAACAGCTCTGACATCTCCTTATGTTGCTGTTTAATGTTGATATCAACTGTCATCACATATTAATTAGCAACTAGCCCCCACTGGATGTGGGATCACTGATTTAATTGCTAAACAGTTCACACATCGGTGAGCAAGTCATCAAGCCATGCCCTGCTAAATCAGCTGGCCGGGCCATTCAGAACTTTCACACCTATGCTGCTAATTGGCCTGGCCTGTGATTTAAGTGGCTGTCGTTTGACTTCAGACCTCGCAGTGACCAAGGTCAGTGTGAATTCATGTAGCTTTTCTTTATTCACTAAGATTGACCAATTATTTGCAACAAAAAGGGTGAAAATGGGTTCCCACGTTGTGAGACATTTTAGAAGGCTGTTTTTCGTGAGTCTCACTCCTAAATCGTGAGATATGGCATGAATGCTATCAGTATGGAGCGCAAAACTCTCCCGTCTAATCGCTGACAAACACTTGTGTCTTGTCATGTTATTACTGTGTTTGCAATTTGATTAATAATTGTGCGCTGGCCCAATCTGATTAAAATCATCTGTTACATGGCTCTGACTGAACATCTGAATGTGCCGCGGTCAAGGTCACGTTCAAGTGACCTTTAGATGAACCAATCAGAGGCGCACTGGCAAAAGTTTGCCAGCGAATCAGAATATCATGGTTGATAGATAAATAGCTAGGGGTATCGAACAGATTAGTTTTTCAAAACAAATATGGCAGCGGGAACTGACGTTTCTACGACGCCAAGGAAAACGTACCCATTGGGTAATAATTGCGTAGGCAACACCGCCATACAGTCTTTCTTCTCTAATAAAGCTTCGAATATCTTTTTCTGTTCGGGTTTCAGACGATCAATCTCAAATAACTTCAGAACTTTCGCATCATTCTCATCAATGTCCGTCATATTTGTTACAACTCCGAGCGCCCCTTTGAAAGAGGGTCTCTGATTGGTCAAAATTTAATGAGTATTTATAAATATAAAGGTCACCTGAACGTGACCCTGACCACGGCACACTCAGATGTTCAGGCGTAGTACGAAGTTAACAAAGCCATGTAACATATGATTTTAATCAGATTGGAGCTGGCCTGATTTATTGCTAAACTGATATGTTACCTGTTCGAGTGCCAAACCAAACAGATTTGACCAGGTGGTTTCAATCCACCCTTCACATTCTGATACATTACAATTGAACTTCCGTCAATACTCGAGAAAACATCTACTGCTTTGCGGCCTACATACTTGTCTATGCTTTGCGATTAAGTGCAAATTGAACTTGATAATCAATTATTTTAAAATATGTAAGTAAATACAAAAAAGGCATATGTATCATTATTCATCGCCAGATATTATGCAAACATATCGTGATAGGCCATCGTTGTTCTGTATCAACGACTTCACTGTTTGTCCTGATTTTTGCCAATGACAACTCGGATTGTTCAAACTACTTTAAATTTAAGCGGCTATAACTTTGTGTAATTTGAACAGGATTGACATTTTTTATTTTTTTTTCATTTAAGCGGCTAGAACTTTGTGTAATTTGAACAGGATTCACAATTTTTATTTAATTTACCTATCTGACCAGAGGTTTGCCTAAGTCCCTTTCAGTTGTACTGGTGTGGTTACACTGGTAGTAATAAAGAGCCTTTGCACAATTTTGCCTTCAACTTCAAAGTGTGTCTGCCAGAAAGAATAGTTTTCATCTATATGTCCTTGATATTTGACCTTAAATTTTAATAGGATCTTGTTTTTGTCCAACAAATGTATAAGCATAATGAGACTGAATTGACTGTCTCTGCAATATTGTGCCTACAAGTTGATGTGTACCTACCAGAAATCCTAACCCATGACCTTGACCTATGACATTTACTTTTTGCTTTGGCCAGTCACTGTACATAGTTAGAGTGAGACTGGATAAATGGCTTTTGCAATATGATACCTATTACAAGGATGAAACCAATATGGACTGGGTAAACAAATGGACAATTACTATAACTACATACAAAACCCTCGTGAAATATTGCAGAAACTACCCCCATCATCAATCCCGTAAGTTATAAATCCTGTAAGTTATAAATCCTGTAAGTTATAAATCCCGTAAGTTATAAATCCCGTAAGTTATAAATCTCTGTGTTGCCAGGTATCCTTGGTCTCGTCATCAGTAATTCATTCAAATTTAAATGATTTATTATGAAAATACAGTCAAGCATAGGAGAAATATCAGCTTCTACAAAATGCTAGGAGTTTTAAGAAATTTCAGGTAAAACCACCTCTATATAAATTCTTCTCTCTCCAAAAACCCCTACAGAGAGAGCAGATGCACATAAATTCCCATTGTAAACACACAGCAAATGTAAGCGAAACAAAACTTTTTGGTTGTTCAACTGTACCATCTCAAGTAATTGTCGTGTATTTTGTGACATATATGAATTCACTCCATTACAAATGTACATCATTACTAATGTAAGCATGCAGATTCCACCATGTTTCACGAGTACACCATCAGTCCCAGCATATATATATATCCAGCAGGCTAAACAGGCTTGTACATTGAACTAATCATATGCAATACAAATTTAACCATTGAACTACTTTCAGTTAGCATTAATAGTCCATATGAACAGGAACCTGATAAATTCCACGAAGCTTGCTAGTGCTTCAAGTTGAATTTCTCATCTTTGTGATGGATTCTGATATTGACAATGAATGCTAACTGAAAGCTGTTTAAATTTTCATTTTTTTCTCAAAATATTTCAATCTTGGAGAAAATCAAATTTTATCAAAATGAAGCATTTAGCTTAAATATGTGAATAAATCATACATGCTGGTTTCATGAATAAAACTGCCATCTTCAAGAGGTCTTTAGTATATTCTATTACCATTATGATGCCATAATTTTATCACCACGTGGGGCCATGGCATTCATAGCTACTATGAATGACATCTGAACATGGTAGGGTTATATAGTGGCAGTGCTATAGAATGGTATATAATAATAAAATATAGTCTATTACATGTCTGTTATACCTGAGGATGGTAATGCTGTGAGGTCATTTTTGGAACATGATCGAACATACCTGTATGACATACAATATTATTACACCCACAAATGTTCTGTCCATGTTTACACAATTTCAAGACAAGTTGTACCTAAATTTCACAATGAAATAGGCCTGTGAAACTGTATTCTCTTATCCTGGACAAGTGTATCTGCAATTTAACCTGTGTGAGATTTCCTTGTCTCACCCTAGGGTTGAGACGGGGGGATTCCCCTATTCATAACAATGGTATGATATCACTTCAACAATACAATGACGTCACGTCAACAATCCATCAATGTCATGTCAACCCTGAATTTAGCATGTAACTTTATCATTACATTGTGTATATGATACACAATTGAAGAACGGGGCAAGAGATGAAGAATCATTCAACCCCTTGTGGGTGAGATGGGGGAATCTCAACCCTCGGGGAAAGATTCTTGTGTTGCCAAACACTTGGCAAAGCCTCGTATTTGGCAACTTAAGAATCTGCCCCCTTGGGTTGAGATTCCCCTATCTCACCCCCAACATTCTATAATCTAATTCTCCTTTGAAGAAAGAGTTTTGACCAAAATATAAAGGTTTAGAAGATATAACCAACATTTACAAAAAAAACACCTAGAAATGGAATCTCAAAGCCGCAAACAAATTGATCTGGCAAAATTGACCATTCTAGCAAATGAGTGAAAAGTAGGGACCAAAAAAACAGGACAGTATAATGTTTACCAGGAAATGTTCGCGGCAGTTTAATTAATGTCTTTTTCGCCCTCCACAGTTAGGGCGAATGAATCAGGACAGCAAATATTAGCACACAGTTCACCCTATATAGTAAACTAATTACATGTGAAGTTTACACTGGGCGATATAGATTTTACTAGTGAGGGGCAAATATTTGACTGGGTGAATATATAGATTTTACTAGTGAGGGGCAAATATTTGACTGGGTGAATATATAGATTTTACTAGTGAGGGGCAAATATTTGACTGGGTGAATATATAGATTTTACTAGTGAGGGGCAAATATTTGACTGGGTGAATATATAGATTTTACTAGTGAGGGGCAAATATTTGACTGGGTGAATATATAGATTTTACTAGTGAGGGGCAAATATTTGACTGGGTGAATATATAGATTTTACTAGTGAGGGGCAAATATTTGACTGGGTGAATATATAGATTTTACTAGTGAGGGGCAAATATTTGACTTGGTGAATATATAGATTTTACTAGTGAAGGGCAAATATTTGACTGGGTGAATATATAGATTTTACTAGTGAAGGGCAAATATTTGACTAGGTGAATATATAAATTTTACTAGTGAAGGGCAAATATACTAGTGAGGGGCAAATATATAAATTTAACTAGTGAAGGGCAAATATTTGACTGGGTGAATATATAGATTTTACTAGAGAGGGGCAAATATTTGACTTGGTGAATTTATAGATTTTACTAGTGAAGGGCAAATATACTCGTGAGGGGCAAATATATAAATTTAACTAGTGAAGTGCAAATCTTTGACTGGGTGAATATATAGATTTTACTAGTGAAGGGCAAATATTTGACTAGATGAATATATAAATTTTACTAGTGAAGGGCATATATACTAGTGAGGGGCAAATATATAAATTTAACTAGTGAAGGGCAAATATTTGACTGGGTGAATATATAGATTTTACTAGTGAAGGGTAAATATTTGACTGGTGAGACTTTCCCGGTATACAGTATATATTTGTTTAAAGTGTTAGAAGCAACACCTACTTGCTGTTTGTTGGTGGGGTACTGTTGCTGGGCATACTGGCTGAACTGTACAGCCGTCTGTTGGTTCAACGCTGTTCGGATCTGCATTCTGTCGGACACAAATGAAATCATTCAAACTTCTATGTAAAAAACCCAACATTAACATTTCATATAGATTTTATTTATTCAGTTTACTATTTCAGTTGAACAGGAGTTTGTCTCCACCAAAGACGTATTATGTAGACTTTCATTTTATGAAAAATTATCATATGTCCAGTGAAATTTCATCTGATGGATAGTTGGCAGTTGAAAACTTTGTAAAATTTGGGTTTCTGAATGTTTATATATTTCTTATATCCTTCTGAAACAGACTGTGACTTTGTTATTGGAAAAATTAAAGCCATGTTTTACAGAAATAAAAAATAATTTTAAAATACACTTTTAAAAATAATTTTTAAACTATTAAAATCTATCTCACTTATGAAACGGAGACTAAAATAATGTTTTTTTTTGTACTCATTTTATATAAACCCTAACATGTAGCCTTGAGATAGTTCAAGGTCACTGACATGAACAAACTTGCTTACCTGTCACTCCAGCAAGCTACAGGCTGAAGATCATTATTCTAGGTTATTGGTTATTTAGAAGAGATTGTCTGAATTTTTTCCCCATATTTGACATCTATTGACTTAGAAAGTGGGTCAAGTCAAGGTCACTCATGTAAACAAACTTTGTTTTCCTTAAACCCAGCATGTTACTGGCAAATTTGAATTACCCAATGCCTCTTGGTTATAACCAAGCAATCATTTAATTTTTGCAAACATTTGACCTTCAATGTGACCTTCAATGTTATACATTTGAACATACTCTATCTATGTCAATTCATCCGAGAATGCTAGTGATCAAGAATTATCATCCAAAGCTAATCGATTATTTAAAAGAATCCTTTAAAAGGATTAATACAAATTTGATACCTGTAACCTTGAAAGTGGGCCAAGGTGTTTTATTCATATTTAATAACCTTTTATCCAAGCATGTTAATTGTAAAATATCATCACCCTAGCCTATTTGTTGACCAGAAAAAGTTGTAAAATGTTGACAGTGGAAGGGCAAACCAAGGACCTGGTGAACTTAGAATCATGTCTACTTACTCCTGTTCAAGCTGTTTTTTTCTCTCCATCTCCAGTTGACGTTTGGCTTCCTCTTCAAGCCTCTGCTGTTCCATTTCAGCCTCTTCTATTTTCTTTCTCTCTTCTTCTTCTTTCCTTCAAAACAAAAAATGTTGTCCAATGATATTTGATTTGAAGAAATTTGAATATGCAGCCTATTTCATTAAATTATTGTGCAGAAAACTCAGACTGATCAAAGTGCTAATGGATTATCACTAGATTTGCTGTTTCAAACTCAGCCTTTGTCTTTCTACAATATAAGTACGGTAAACCTCTCCGGTCAGTTCGAATCGGCGGATAGTTCGAACACATATTTTTTTCAATAAATACAATAATTTTCTAGCTAGTGATAGTTCAAACTCTGATTGACCCTATTTCGGATAGTCCGAACTTGTCAAATGAAGAACGTACATTTAAAGTAAGATTTTTTTCGGCAAATTCCATCGATCGGCCCCGGAAAAATGCCAATACTTTGATCAACAGACACGTTTAGGGTAATGGGTTGTATGTGTGAGCATTGCAGTACAGCTGTGACAGACAAACCATAAATATATGTCACAGATTTTAGCGTTGATTCATTTTTTTACATTGTTTGAAAATACATCGTGCACGAGACAGCCAATAGCAACTTAGGCCCCAACAATGTATAAATAACATGCGATCAGTACGAACTGATGTCACGCTGTATGGCAAACTAAGAAATCGCCCTTGTATTGTCAAATACAGTGTTAACTAAGCATTATGATTATTTAATTGCGACCAGACATCCCTTAATTATTGCCAATCAAGGTGTTACCTTTAATGTGTGCCCTCACACCAGGTAGCTAGGGTAGGACACGATGTCGCGGTAGGGATCGGCCGCCCAGCCATTGTGAGTGTCGTGTTAGCATTCATGTCAAAGTCCAAAAATCCACAGGTGTCCCAATTAGCGATGGGTAATTTTGAAAGTTTCAACTATGTTTGGTAGGTATCAGGACACAAGCTAGGTAGTCTAACTTTTGTGTCACAAATGGAACGTGTACCGACTGTTTAGGGGCCTACACAATGGCCTCTGCTTCGCAATAACGATAATAATTATCACGAAATGAAGAAAGTTTAATGATCAATTAACATTGAATTAAATAATATACTATCATTTTACCCATTTATAAATGTGCCATTGTTCTATGCCAGGCCGTCGTTGTTACGTATCGACCTTACATTGGATATATAGAGGTATACTCCGGTGAAGAAAATATGTCGGGTATATGTTTGTGACTTGATTTACACTTTGCCGAAATTTTTGCCGATAGTTCGAACTCACGCTTAATTTCTGAAGCATAATTTTGTATAATCCGAACAGGTTCATCAATATTTATTTAATTTTGTTCGAACTGACCAAAGGTTTACCGTATTCAGCATGTTTCATCAGAATCTGGTCTTAATTGATTAAGATGTTATGTGGAAACCATTGACGAATCAGAGCAGTCTGGTAATTAATTATGCGTGGATTTTGCTCAACTTCAAACTTAGTCTTTGTCTATTGTAAATGCATGTTTTAATGAAACTGAACGATAGTTAGCAAGATATCTAGCAGAAACCAAAGCGGAATGGGCGGAAAGATGGATGAAAGCACTCTCTACCACGATAAAACTCATCAGAAATGTTGTACTAAGCAATTTCATAATGAAATGGTAGCAGAGTCCTCCATTAAATTCTCATTATATATCCAACAGCAGTCAAATTCAGTGAATATGTTAGATTTGGAAAAAATGCTGACTTACTGTTTCCGGAGTTTCTCCAAATGTTCAGCCTTGTGGGCATCTACGTAAGGTCTGAACAGGGTACTGAGTTTGTCCAGCAGCTCAACAAAGTCTTCCATGGCATTGTCTTGTGACATGTCCCCAAGTGACTGCCACGCTTGTCTGTAGACAAAATTTGAATACATTTGAAATCTGACATGATACCAAAAAACAGAAAGAAATGTCTTGCTTGATTTTTTGTTATGTCAAATTTACGCCAAACAAGCACATTCGTGGAATTTATATCCCCCGCTTTCAGGACATATTGTAGGTAAACATTATTGAGGTTAGGTTTAAACATGTGAGTATCATGCTGCTGAGACATAATGTATAGCTTGAAACTTGAAGAAAAAAAGCTTTATCTAATATTTGCTAGAGTTATTAAGCGGAAACTGCAGATAATGACTCTGCCAAATGGAGTCTGATTAAAGTGGTTGCCAAACTTGGCCGAGCCCTTATTGATTTGAACCCTGTTACCAAGTTTGAAGAAAATCGGATACTATTTGCGAGAGTTAATGAACAGAAACGGAAGATAATGATGTTTTTTGTTATTCAAGGGGCCATAACTCTGCCAAAAGGGGTCCACTGAAAGTGGTCATCAAACTTGGCCGAGCCCTTAAGGTATTTAACCATGTGACCAAGTTTGAAGAAAATCAGTTAACATTTGTTGTAGTTATTGCACGGAAACGAAGCGCAGTAGATAATGATGTTTTTCGTTATTCAAGGGGCTATAACTCCGCCACATGGAGTTTGTGAAAGTGGTCAACAAAGTGGTCGAGCATTTAAAGCCTTTAACCCTGTGACCAAGTTTGAAGAAAATCAGTTAACAATTGTTGTAGTTATTGCACTGAAATGAAGTGTAACAGACAGGCATGTTTTTCCTACCTATTTGCCCTATTTTTTTTGGAGCAGAAACAGGAAACACACATGTTTTTATTTGGCCTTATCATGTCTCATGATTACTGCATATAAATGAGATGTAACTGGCTGAATCCCATGTCATGCACCATAAATAAAGGATCAATTAATAGTTTGTATCATACGGGATATAAATTAAATCACTCGATTTGTCTTTATATGGTCTGGAAACATTGTGCACTGACAGACCCATGCACGTACCTGTAGCCCACTAACTCGGAGGATTTTGTACACTGACAGACCCATGCACGTACCTGTAGTCCACTAACTCGGAGGTTTTTGTACACTGACAGACCCATGCACGTACATGTAGCCCACTAACTCGGAGGTTTTTGTACACTGACACACCCATGCACGTACATGTCGCCCACTAACTAGGAGGTATTTGTACACTTGACAGACCCATGCACGTCCATGTGCCCCCCTAACTCGGAGGTATTTGCACACTGACAGACCCATGATCGTACATGTAGCCCACTTACTCGGAGGTGTTTGTGCACTGACAGACAAATGCACGTACATGTAGCCGACTAACTCGGAGGTATTTACTGACAGACCCATGCACATACCTGTAGTCCACTAACTGGGGGGTTTTTGTACACTGACAGACCTATGTACGTACATGTAGCCCACTAGCTCGGAGGTATTTGTACACTTGACAGACACATGCACGTACATGTAGCTCACTAACTCGGAGGTATTTTTACACTGACAGACCCATGATCGTACATGTAGCCCACTTACTCGGAGGTATTTGTGGACTGACAGACCAATGCACGTACATGTAGTCCACTAGCGAGGACGTATTTGTGCACTGAAAGACCCATGCACGTACATGTACCCCACTAACTCGGAGGTAGTTGTGCACTGACAGACCCATGATCGTACATGTAGCCCACTTACTCGGAGGTATTTGTGGACTGACAGACCAATGCACGTATATGTAGCCCACTAACTCTGAGGTATTTGTAAACTGACAGACCCATGCACCTACATGTAGCCCACTAATTAGGCGGTATTTGTGCACTGACAGCCCCATGCACGCACATGTAGCCCTCTAACTCGGAGGTATTTGGACACTGACAGACCCATGGACGTACATGTAGTCCACTAACTAGGAGGGATTTGTACACTGACAGACCCATGGACGTACATGTAGCCCATTAACTAGGAAGTATTTGTACACTGACAGGCCCATGTACGTACATGTTGCCCACTAACTCGGAGGAATTTGTACACTGACAGATCCATGCACGTACATGTACCCCACTAACTCGGAGGTTTTTGTACACTGACAGACCTATGCACGTACATGTAGCCGACTAACTCGGAGGGATTTGTACACTGACAGACCAACGCACGTACATGTAGCCCATTAACTAGGAGGTATTTGTGCTCTGACAGACTCATTCACGTACATGTAGCCCACGAACTCGGAGGTATTTGTGGACTGACAGACCAATGCACGTACATGTAGTCCACTAACTCGGAGGTATTTCTACACTGACAGACCCATACACGTACATGAAGCCCTCTAACTCGGAGGTATTTCTACACTGACAGACCCATGAACGTACATGTAGCCCACTACCTCGGAGGTATTTGTGCCCTGACAGACCCATGCACGAACCTGTAGTCCACTAACTCGGAGGGTTTTGTACACTGACAGACCTATGTACGTACATGTAGCCCACTACCTCGGAGGTATTTGTGCCCTGACAGACCCATGCACGTCCATGTGCCCCCCTAACTCGGAGGTATTTCTACACTGACAGACCCATTCTGTTTTCAAATATTTAAATTTTTGCACGTACATGTAGCCCATTAACTAGGAAGTATTTGTACACTGACAGGCCCATGTACGTACATGTTGCCCACTAACTCGGAGGAATTTGTACACTGACAGACCTGACAGACCCATGCACGAACATGTAGCCCACTAACACGGAGGTATTTGTACACTAGACAGACCCATGCACGTCCATGTGCCCCCCTAACTCGGAGGTATTCGTACACTGACAGACCCATTCTGTTTTCAAATATTTAAATTTTTGCACGTACATGTAGCCGACTAACTCGGAGGTATTTGGACACTGACAGACCCATGAACGTACATGTAGCCCACTTACTCGGAGGTGTTTGTGCACTGACAGACCCATGATCGTACATGTAGCCCACTACCTCGGAGGTATTTGTACCCTGACAGACCTATGCACGTACATGTAGCTCACTAACTCGGAGGTATTTGCACACTGACAGACCCATGAACGTACATGTAGCCCACTTACTCGGAGGTATGTGTGCACTGACAGACCCATACACGTACATGCAGCCCACTAACTCGGAGGCATTTGCGCACTGACAGACCCATGAACGTACATGTAGCCCACGAACTCGGAGGTATTTGTGTACTGACAGACCCATTCTGTTTTCAAATATTTAAATTATAATTAATTATAATTCAGTAAAATACATTGCACCCATGTACGTACATGTTGCCCACTAACTCGGAGGCATTTGCGCACTGACAGACCCATGATCGTACATGTAGCCCACTTACTCGGAGGTATGTGTGCACTGACAGACCCATGAACGTACATGTAGCCCACTAACTCGGAGGCATTTGCGCACTGACAGACCCATGAACGTACATGTAGCCCACTTACTCGGAGGTATGTGTGCACTGACAGACCCATACACGGACATGTAGCCCACTAACGCGGAGGTATTTGTACACAGACAGACCCATGCACGTCCATGTGCCCCCCTAACTCGGAGGTATTTGTGGACTGACAGACCAATGCACGTACATGTTCTGGAAACATTGTGCACTGACAGACCCCTACACGTCCATGAAGCCCTCTAACTCAGAGGTATTTGTACACTGACAGATCCATGCACGTACATGTACCCCACTAACTCGGAGGTTTTTGCACACTGACAGACCCATGTCCGTACATGTAGCCCACTACCTCTGAGGTATTTGTACTCTGACAGACCCATGTACATACACGTAGCCCACTAACTCGGAGGCATTTGCGCACTGACAGACCCATGTCCGTACATGTAGCCCACTTACTCGGAGGTATTTGTGCACTGACAGACCCATTCTGTTTTCAAATATTTAAATTTTAATTAATTATAATTCAGTAAAATACATTGCAACATAAGATTTTTGCAGAAAGTTCCTGAAGAAAAGGTCTTAAATATTTCATAAAAATGACAATGTTAATAATTTATAATTTAGCTTATTGGTACCATTTACCTTAGGAATACCTTTGATCTATAATGTGATCCTTGCTTTTAAACTGTTTGAAGTTTATGTACACTGAAGTATTGACAGAATCCATACTATGATACTGATTTACTGTACATGTATAATTTATAAAACCTCTTCATAGATCTGGATATAGCAGTTAGGTAGATGATAGACAAGATAAGACAATATGCTAAAAATTGTGGTCAAACAGTTTTGATTGTGGACAAACATCTTGGTTGGTATAATATCGGTGAAGTGTTATTGAGGGCCTCTTGTGCCATGGTGTTTTAACACTGATCAAGGGGAGGTAAATCTTACAAAGTTGATATATAAACACAACCAAAATTTGTTAACCTTGGGCTCATAGTATAGGCTAGCATTGAATAAAAATTGTGAACAAAAACATATGAATTATTTTAGTTAATAGCCAATATGTATATGTTGATAGGCACTTATTTATAATGTGTAGTGCTCAGTACTTATCAAACAGTACTATCTCAATCTTGCTAACTTCACTTATATATAGAAAAGCAGCTTGTATATTGCTGCTTATTATTTGCGGTCAGTTAGCAACACTATACTCTCAGTCTTACTTACCTCACTGGAGTATAGCATTATATTCAGTATTCAGATATCCAAGAGGTTATTAGCAAAGTGAGATTTACCAGTTATTCTTGTAACAATCCATATTAAAACATTGAAATGTAACGGAAAAATACTACATTTATATCATGCATGTCACTCAAGGAAGTAAAATGTTTCTAAAAAGTGTTGAAATGGGCAAACATACCCTACTTTACTTCATTAGCTGAAGCTATTAGACAAGGTGCTGAAGTATGTTTTTTTTATTTTTTTTTATTTTATTTTTTAAAAATATTTACAAATTATGTACAAGATGTTTTTCCTTCTGAAATGTGTGCAAATTCCAGGTATGCTTGTAGTTTCATCAAGATATGTCTATTAATAAAGGCAGCAGAAAAGAGATAAGGAAACGTTAACAAAATAACAGATCTCTAGATGGAAACTTGTACAGAATATACCATAATACAACCCACTATCAACCGGCATACAAAATATTATTTCTGTTCCTAGGGTATATATAGTCCTAAGCAGTAAGCACAATTATGTCCATTTTATTTGGAGGACTGCAAGTAAAGGTAATAGATCTAGAGTAACAGGGCAGTGGTCATGGATACTCTAAACACTTCCAGTTCCTCAACCAACAGGACTGGCACTGTCTATATATATAACAACTGGAGCTCAGTGCAATTCAATAGCGAGAAATCCCGAAATGGATTGCCAATTTCCACCTTGCTGCAGTCAGGAGCGGGGGAAAGCTTATGAACCCAAGAGCTATACTGGAAACATTTAGGTATAACCATACTAGACAGTTGACGGGGATGGACCACAGGAAGATTGGAAAGAGCAATTCCTGTAATTTACATTTAGGATTTCCCTATGAGGCATGGTGGCACATGACAAATGTATTATGGTAGATTGGCTACAACAATGTGCATATTAAACGCACTAATTTTCCACATATGTTGCTGTTGGTGTGTTCAATTACAGCTTCTGTATCGGTTTTCTGCTACCTGCTTGTTTTGAGGGACTATTGTGAACTTAACCGAACACCCTTACTAAAATGGACAAATTCTTATCTTTCAGCACACATATATACTACACAATGTATATGTAGGCTATGAAAATATATAATGACTAATCTAACCTTCGATCACTGCCAACCACATCGAGGAATCCCACCTCTGGGGAAATGTCATTGCGGCACTTTCCCTGTGACACCTGTTTAGTGTAGGCCACCAACTTAAGCTTGTCCTTATAGGTGAGGTGAATGGCTTTTCCATCTTTCTCTGTAAACATACAAATAGACAAATATTCAAATATATAACATCTTCTATAAAGATCGATATTTTGCATTTTTAATTAATATACCAATGGAGATATAATTTTGATGAACATTTACTATTTATCTAGCTTTTACAAAATACACAATATATTAGGATAAAAGCGTATATCCCAGTATCACTTAATTCTGACACAACCTAAAATAGTTTTCGACCATTTGGAACTTCTCAGATTCAGTCAACATTTTGAAACTGCATGGCACCCCGAAAAGTTATTTTTTACATTATTTAAGATGCACATAACTTTCATAACATAATATTCTATTGAAAACTATTTTTTAATAGAAAAATCATTGAATTCAGATGTCATCACTATTTGTGCACAAATTGGGCGTTCAAGTTTAAAAATTAGTTTATATCTAAATTGTGTGTCATATACTAGTGGTATTTGAATTCATTAAACATTTGTGCTATTTGAAGACTGTTTTAACAAGCTCTAAAGAAAATACATGTAAGTTCACAAAGATAGAAATTAGTGAAACATTCTTGAAGGTTTTTCTTGGTTTGGTTGGTGTGGCCATTTCATAAGCACCACCCTAAAAAGTATGATTTACTTCACTATTCTTAATAAATGTAATAAATGTGAGTAATATCTTATGCAATCATATCGTTTAACAAGGGGCCTAGAGGGCCTGTATTGTATTGAACATCTGGATATTAAAGCAATCTTGGCTAAATATTTTCATGAAATTGCACAAAATCATCAGATCCCAACTGACCCAATGAAAGGGCCAGACATTAAGACCAATCCTGGTAGCATGTGTATCCAAATCTTCATGCTCAGCAATTGTACAGTATATAACCTAGTTAAGGGACTGAACCCCTGAATGTGAGGCAGACCCCAAGGTCATATCTGATAGCTATACGATGATTGTCTGTCTCTTCATGCCCAGCAACTTCATACCTAATAAAATTTCAATCCCAACTATTTCTATATATAGATTGACCCAAGCCAGAAAGTAAGCTGTCAGAGGTAAGGTAGGCCCCCAAAGCCAATTCTGGTAGCTTATCATTTCGAATATAAAATGCACAGCAATTGTGTATAGCTTTATAGGGTTAAGATCTATAGTTTCCAAGTTTTGGCCCAAAGATTAAGTCCCTAGAGGTGTGGCCAGACCCCAGCGTCAAATCTGATAGCATGATTGAGTTTATTTCTTCTTATCCAGCAATTGTATACTGTAAACGTGGTTATTTATGCTGGGTAAAAAAAAATACGCGATCTGAAGGTCAAAACTATACATGCAGGGTTATTTACGCGGTTGCAGTACACTGTTTACTCTGCAGAGTTATCTCCCTTACTTTACAAAATGTGTACAGGGGCCTGTTTGTTTATGCGGAACAAACCAGTTTGTCCTTTTTTAAATGTTTACAGTATATGGTTATCAGGTGGATATTTCATGATCAACAGGTTTACAGTTATGAAACACGGACCCAGTCTCCTTGGGTGGGACCAGATGGCAATCTGTATGAGCAGTTGACAGCATTTCATTAAAATTGAAGTTGTATCACAGAATTTACAGGATAGACTGTAAATCCTGTGGGCACAGACACTGGCAATGCCATGATGTTGTTTAACTGATGACGAATGGATTCACTTAAATTGTTGTCATAGTCAAGTATACTCCAACAGTGTTAGAGGTTTACATGGCGAGATACTTTTGACAGGCGCCGTGTAACGCAGTCGGCAAAATCATATCCGATATAGGAGTAGGTCAAGTAATGGAAATGATTGCAAACTGACTGTATTATTTCAAGCACATTATAAAAAATGTTGTTAAAAATGTGAAGCAATCTGCTTATATATTTAGCTCTTCATGAAAGACCATAACGTATTCGTCAATTTCCTCTCTAGGTGGTCCGAAACTGGTTACACTGCTTACCNTTGGAATGCCGTCTGGGTCAAATATTCTACGTACTATAAAATTTATACACCTTTTCGCTCCTTTTCGTGGTTTACCCCTGCCCCTTACCTTTGTATATTTAATTACCCTGTTTACAACGACGCCGGGGTAACGTATAAAGTGTAGAATGAGACGTTTAGATCAAAGCATGCAAAATTTATCACGACATTTTGTGAAATAAATTTTATAGTACGTAGAATATTTGACCCAGACGGCATTCCAATCCAATATAGATACTGCAACTAGCACCTGTGGTAATTACATTCCACAGGAGCAAGTCACCAAACACATTCAATAAAATCACCGGTCCATTTCCCGAGATATATACCTTTGTAGAATTTCAACGCTAATTTGTACACTTCGGGAAGTTTGAATCCCCATCTCTCTGCAAAGTTGTCTTTTGTGTCTGATGTGACAGGCTCCTGGTTATCGTTGACAGTCAGCGAACCGACATCGTTGGAGAGCTCTTCAGCAGCAGCCGCCATTTTTGTTGTCCACGTAGAGCGAGGCTGAGCCTCATTCCTGATTAGGGAGCGTACTAATTTATTCTGGACAATGAGACCTCCCTCTGAACGCAGACGATAACTGGTTAGTTCTAGCACGGACTTAGATAACATCTAATCTAATTCCGTGGTGCTAGGCCTTCTTACAAATCTAAATAGGTCAAGTTTTTCATGAAGGCTCATTACAGTGTATACTACAATTTCTTATGGGCTCACATTTTTTCCTGGAAATAAAAAGAATTGTTAGTAGACTAGTCTAGAATGGTAATTGTGTAACCATTTCCAGGTAACACGTCCGTCTGACAAACCCTGGTTTTACTCAGTTTTACGTAAACATTGTCAGATTCGTGAAAAACTTGGAAAGAATGCTCTCAATACGGAAAATCTTACAGATTGGAAAAAATATTAGAAAACCAGAAATACTGTCAATAAAATAAAAAAAAAAGCAAGCTCAAGTTCGGTTTTATAGCAATCTCAGTTGAGTCACACATTGATGAATCAAGTAACTAACTAAAATACTCAAAAGCTTTAATTTTTTCTCCACAAAAAGTCCTTCCTCCTCTTAATGTATGTTGAGCATGATGGATCTATTCCAAAAGTTGCTTATAATGACCAAGGAAAAAACTGAAGTAGATCTACTTAAGGAGCTTCACCTCTGAGAAGTAAAAAAACAAACTGTTTTAAACTTTTTTCCTTAAATGGATTTTTGGAAAAAGGAGTAAAAGGCACAGTAGAAAATGCAAAAAAAACCTATATGTCCGTGTGTTCGTTTTTGTGCTATGATTACGGTCAAAGTTACAAATTTAACATAACATGTGATTTTAGGTGTTTTTTGGGGTTTTGACCATTTGCAGAACAAATTCATACATATGTGTTATCAGATATGTAGGAATGTTTGTAGATTATTATTATTATTTTTTAATATTTAATGAATTAAAAGAAAATGTGCTTCTCTTTCTAAAACATTCACAAAAATGGGGGGTCCGTGTGCTTCTTTTTTTGTCCCATTATCATTTGTGTTGGGTTTGTTTTTTACCTTTTTCGGGGTCAAAAATTAAAAGGGCTTCAGTTTCACTAAATATGTAAAAAAAAACACAATAATGTATAATTTTCCAGTTTGTTGCATATTATTTTTATCATATTAAACATTATGAAATTGAACAGCAAAGTTGAACCAATTAAAAATGGTGACACAGTGACAATTGAAGTGATCAATCTAGTGTCAAAAACGGTGAAGTTTTCGCCTTTTTTGAGGCGCAAGAAATACACATTAATACACATTTTCAAAATGGCCATCAAATTTGTATTTTTTTTAAATTCTTGTAAAAAAAGTTCTACAATCAACAGGCATCTAGTCTTTTGACATATTTTTTTCAGATGCGTGTTTGCTAATAAATTTGAACATAATTTGTTAAATATTACAAAACCCCGTTACGCCAGATCAAAACGAGACTTGAACGTGATCGAAACCTCAGAAGATTACATCCTTAATTACCACTTTTCTACCATATCTAGTATATTGATGATTCTGATGCAAATTTACCTGAATTCTTGAAAGAATATGCTAACACTTTAGGCCTAACTGATGTCGTCATAAGTGAAAAAGATGTATTTGATGTTTTGTCAGCTCTTGATACTGGTAAAGCAGTCGGCGCTGGTAAAATCAGTCACCGTATTCTCAAAGCTACGGCAGATTTCAGATTTTCAGATTTTATTTCCAACACTCAGACACATGGAAATGTGTTGCATGAGGTACATGTACATGAATTCATATGTTAAATTTTGACATGATGGACTGGTGCATGCATGTATACAAGCAAAATTGTATTGACACATAATATGTGTTACATGACGAAATAAAGTTGCAGATATGGAAAATGAAGTACACTATACATATTTGTATACGCATGTATAACTGAGAGAATGGACAGTTCAATTTAGAACCGGTAAGTATAGTAACATGATATGACATACAATGGAAAATACAAAGCAAACATAAAAAACAACCATACATATGATTCCCAAGTTATTTAACTATTAACAGTTATCCATATGCATCATTCACAAAAGAGGAGCCATTTTGGTTAGGAAAATAGATAAACCTGTCAGAACTAGTTGATTGTATAATGATAAAAGACCTTTAAACTTATAAATATTTGTGTTTGTACAATAATAACGAGGAATATATTTGTTACGTAATGTGGATATAGTTATATTATTGCATTCAGATAGATAATGAAATTCATCCCCGACACTTTCCGCGCACAAATTACATAGTCGATTATCTCGGAGTATGTTATACCATCTACCTGTTTCAATTGGAAACTTCAAATTCGGTGTGCGCAGTTTTGTTATTGGTGTTCTGATATGTTCTGGCAGACTTAATAAATATTTTTCTAGACCAAATTCCGTTTTAAATAGAGTGTAGTACTGCCCACGAGATGAGCTAGTAATGTCATCGAACCATTGCTGTACAAAGTGATCGTTAAGCCGTTGTTTTAAAATGCATTTGTAAAATCCATCAGGCATCTGTAATTTATTATCAAATATGTAAGAAAACCCCGTTTCTTGAAAGATAATTATCGATACTTTTATCATTGTTATTTAATCGTTCCATCCGCGAGTGTTCCTTTCCTACTGAATGGAAGACAGCTCAGGTGTAACCTTTGTTTACGAAAGGTTAGTTTAAATAAATTTTTATTGCAACAAAAGACAAATGGATTGGACAAAAGTTATTGCAACTTACTTACGTCCTTTCCGTAACAGAAAATATATATACAAAATTAATGAGTCACGTAATAACCTAATACAAATTCATATATGTATATATATATATAAGATGTTAAAGATGGATAACAGCAAAAGAGGTAATGATAGGATTAGGGACACCAACGTATAGTTTTTAAATATGTATCCGGAGAGTTTACTTGAGATCGCGTGTGTGATTTTCCCAATCAAGTCGGCGTAAGTAGTATAACTAATCTATACATACATGTCCTTCTGCTTTTCTAAAGTTCAATCACATTCCGTGCCGCATTTGCCTTTCTCCTGTGTCACTCCAAGTCCTTCTGTGAATTCCTGCCTTACATACTTAGCCGACTAGATTAGGAAAACCGAACACGCACTCTTTGTCATATGGAAACGGTTATGATATTGACGAAAGGTGTCTGTCAGCTTCCGGGAACTTATCGACCTATTTCGTTGTAAGTTGTGTTGTAAGGTCATTCGACAGTATACAAGCTGATCGAGCTCTATCACAATGTTGTTTCAGCCATTGACAGAAAAGAATATTCGTGTGCTGGTTTTTTGCGATCTCTTCAAGGCGTTTGATAAAGTATGGCATGATGGACTTTTATTCAAACTTCGCCAGTATGGTATTGATGGTAACTTACTTTTCTGGTTCTCGAGTTATCTAACTTATCGTCAACAATCGATTATCTGTGGAAATAATACTTCTTCTCTTAAATATAATTAAACACACCACCCTTTATTTGTTCATTTATGTGCACATAGCGCTGATTATCTGCTTGCTTAAATGTATAAACGTGATTGTAAGCCTTTGTTTTTGTTCCACAATTATGACTAATACTATTATACATATGTTGTAAAGCGCTTTAGAGTAATTATTCAAAATATATAGGGGGTTATATAAATATTGTATATTATTATTTATTATTAATATGTATCTGCGGGTGTACCGCAGGGATCGGTTCTTGGTCCTCTGTTGTTTTTATTCTACATTAATGATCGTGTTGATCATGGCTCTTTGCCGATGACTCTTCTCTCCAAGATTCTTCTGCAGACTTGAATGTAATAGAACATAATCTAAACCACGATATTCAACGCTTACAGGACTGGTCTGATCAGTGGTTGATGCAGTTCAATCTCGCTAATACGGAAGTAGTTCTTTCTCGTCTAGTCCATTTGATATAAAACCTAACCTTACTTGTAAGAATCGCTTCCTTTCACGAACTCTCATTGTCACATTGGAGCGTTCCTCAGTATAGTAACTGCAAATGGCATGACCATGTGCATCAAATTAGTAAAACGGCTTCTTCTAACGTATCTGCATTAAAGCAATTAAGATATAAAGTTAGTAAGGATACATTAAATACTATATTATATACATCATAAGACCAACTCTTGAGTATGTTTCTTGCGTATGCGATGGTTGTTCTGTCGAATTGTCAAATGCCTTGGAGAGGGTGCAATTAGAAGCAGCCAGAGTTGTATCTGGTCTACCCTCTGTCGCCTCTTGAGAGGCACTTTACTTTGAAAGCGGATTTGTAACTTTGAAATCTAGAACAGAAAAAAATAAACTGTCTACTTTTTATAAGATGCATAACAGATAAGTACCAGATTATATTTATAATTTGCTTCCTTTCAGAAGCAATGATCTTCGTCGTGATTTTCGTAACCCCGGTAACTATCAAATACCACGCTGTAGATTAGATATTCTTAAAAAATCATTTATTCCTTCTACAACAAATGGAATAGACTTGATAATTCTGTTAAAAATATCTCGTCATTTTCTACATTCAATATGAAAATGTCGCCTGTACCACGCGTTTACCGAAATATTTAAATGTCGGTAACCGATACCTCTCGGTTCTTTTAACAGGAATTAGACATAAATGTAGTGGTCTTAAACCTCACCTATCTGTCATTGCGATGATGGTAATGAAGATGCATATCATTATTTTTTTGTCTGTGCAGAATTTTTAAATCCTCGAATAAGATTATTAGATGCGCTTCTAAACATCGGTATTCAACCAGTCCCCCCACTGGATATTCTTATATGGGGAGATGCAGATCTTCCGTTCCAAACTAATGTCAACATCATACTTGCTGTACAATCATTTACAAAATCAACGAAGAGGTTGGAAATCAACTAGTGGACAACTAATGCAACCAGAACAGTTCCCCTCCTGTCCATTCTTTCAACCTTTCCCTCACTCCTTCCCTTTCTCATTGCTTTTTTTCTTATGTGAATTAGTAGACTGTCTATGTATATTTATGCTGAACTTTTTGTCATCACGTGTTATATCTTTAGTTACTGTGTGTTGCATTGTCGGAAGGGGGCCTAGTAAGTTGTCAGAACTTGTGCCCAATCCCTTTGATTGTTTTCTTTCAATAAAATATGCTTGAATGAATTTCTGGTCCCAATTTTCTCTTGACTTAGCAACAGTGTGGATTATACATCTCTGGAGACATTTTTCTTTTTCATGTGACGATAGAACTAGATACGCATGGGATATTTAATGGTTTCCCGTTAAATATCATATACCGTGACGTACCATGGCATATAAGTCATTTCTCCATTGATTCTATAAATTGGAAAATCAAGTTTTTCCTGGACAGGGGTTATTTAGGGATTGACCTTCATTTTGACTGCGTATACGGTAGTATGAACGCAGTTGGCAACGAACATATTCTATGGAGCGCGTAAGATCAATCCTTATATTTACATATTTTCCTACTATGATGATACACTCAGAATAAAGCTAACTCCAATACATTTGCTTTTATAATGGTACAAAACCTCCGTAACGTGCGTAAATCCAAACAAATGAACAGCCTACAGCCTGCGAGCAGCGATGGATCTCCAACGTTACCATTATGACCTCACAATGTAAATTACGTTATCAATTCCGTCTTTGCGTATTGCAGAGTTATCTTCTCTTGAGAGCAGGTATTGATTGTTACGTCATTGGTTTGTGTGAGAAAATTACGTCGTTTTCTCAAAAAATGATGACGTTACTTTCACTAACAAATGACGTAACAATCAATACCTGCTCTAAACTATGCAATACGCAAAGACGGAATAGGAAACAATGGTCTCCAATGAATCTCACTGCGTATACGGTAATGTATACGCAGTCATGGTTTACACAGCTTCAATGGGAGCGAATGTAAATATATTCATATATATTGCTGTGACGATAAAAAATTCTATCAAATGGATGATTGCTAATATTTCACTGGTAATAAATGTAGAGTATCAGAGACATATATTACATATCTCTGGAATATATGTCCCGAGATAATTATTTCAATTTTTCACAGCAAGTTCCTGTATATAACCAAGGCATTAGATTATCTAAGTCCTTGATATCACCAGAAGAAATATTGCGTTCATAGGGCTATGAACGCAAATTGATCCGCGTGGTTTTGAAGCTTCTCCTCCCGCCGCGAATAACGTAAGGCAACCGTTCGAAGCAAACATTTTTGTGACGTTAGGTTGTTCCAGCTATCTCGTTTGCACTAGGCCTAACACTTCATTATCGAAAACAAAAGGGAACATGTAGATCAATGATAACTACAATATTTTGAATGTAAATATATGCATTAAACATAATTTTTCAATGTTTATGCCGGTTTGAACGGAATTGAACATCGAAAATAAATTCTGTTCAATCCTTACGTATTTTGCTGCCTTTTTAGTTCCGTCTTAATTTTTGTTATGAGCGGTTCCACTAGATGAATTTTAACTGAATATCTATCTATCAATACTGCAGCACCAACATGCAACTATTAAGTATAAACTTGTTTTAAAAGAGACATCTTCAATACCCTCTAGGTTACTTATTATATAAGTACACACTATTTATTTCTACGATCAATATGTTTTATGGTATCTTTATCAGTTTCAGTTTTTAGCCAATATGTAGTGAAAAATATTTTGTGAAGCTTTCTATCTTTCCATGTTTCCGGTTTCTCTCGGTATTCGTGTGTGTGTGTGTGTGTGTGTGTGTGTGCTCGTTTCCACAACTGACCAGAGACTGACCATTTCCGTATTCAGACACGCCTACAATCGGATTTTTTTGCCGACCAGAACTCGCTTAATTTACGTTGACGTTAATTTCGCCTTGCCATCGGGAACTGGCACGTCCGGCATACCGGAATCGTGTTCTCCCATAATATTTTTGGGAAATTTGGAATAAAAACTAATGTTTAAACTTTTCCACGTATATATAAATAAAGTATGTTTGCAACCACCGAAAATACACATTGTGTAACCATAGCAGACCAAACCACAAATTTGAATTGCATTTTAAATCGATAGGGACACTGTGTACAGCGTTCGGAGAGATGATAATTAATTCACCGGAAGTAGCGAAGAAAATGTATGTGTGCGTGACGTCATTTTGCGACAGGAAGAGGTGTCCGATTTGGCAGACTGAAAATCGTGAATATCATCTTTTATTCCGTCGCCATCAAGACACATATTAATCAATCGTAAGTATATTCATTTAATACACCTAATGTAATAGATATGTGTATTTGAATGTAAAAGCTAGTTCGATTTGCATTGATAAAATTTTGACAGCTCTTCATGAGATCGATCGACTGAACTTAGCATTGTATATACAGTACAGAGTACAGTACTAAGTCACTACGTATTACGTATTACGTCGATATGAATTACATATTCATAAGTTGTATTATGTTCTAATTCGACCTTCGCAAACGAACATAAATCATTTATCATGAAAACGCCAACACTTGTATGGGAGGAAGCCTCTGTAGTTGCATATGTGTTACAAAGAAATCGACAGATCTTCTAAGTTCCTTCTGTGAAAACGAACACTCTCCAGCCTCGCCTCAATTATCTCCGTGGTTTCCCTATACCCTTGTAAATTGATGGAGATCTATCAGAATTTTCCCTCCATGAATGGGATCTGTAAATAAAATAAAACCCAACTGGGCAGTCACAATTTTCATAAACAGATGTTTGTGTTGGGAGGGTGTGTGCGCGTGTTTAAATGCGTGTTGTCGAATAGAACTACAAGGCTCAAATGCCGAGTACCCCAACCCTTTAGCCTTCTTCTCACCCATATCGCACCACTAGCACGTGCGACTACATGCATACGATTAGTTCTACCTCTATTCCGATACACCTGTCAACCAAGCATAGCCCCATCCCCTTCGCCCTACACGTGTCCCATATGTACTCAAAATAAAAACATATATTCTACAGTCAAATTGTTGTATCTGTAAACAATTAATGTAATTCTCATATAAAAATGGTATTAATGTCGTTGCAAGTGAGTTGTTGGAATATTATATAATTATAAAATCACAAAATAAGAACCAAAATAGGCCTTCATCATTATACTCTAGCAGAGGCGTAAATCTCCATAGGCTGTCTCTTATTATAGATGTCAAATTAAGCAAACCTTCAAAACTTTTACTGAATAATTAGATGCCAAAATCAAGCTCAAGTGATTACACAACACTAAATAAATCTTCTTGTATCTTATATCTACTATTCAAGTAATGAGTCTGAGTGTTCCTGCACATGTATGTTTACCCAGTCACCGACTTTAATCTGAGGACAAGGAGAGGGTATGAGAAATTTTTGCCACATTTAGTCCCTGGGATACATGGATATTTTAAAGATCACCTCCTCATAACCAGTATAAAGACGTCCTGTGCAAGAAGAGCAGAACAAGATCATAGAGGGGAGGTCCCTGGGTCATAACATGAAAACTGTTGATCATGACCATATATATACCTTTGCTAGACATGAAAAAACAAACACAACCATACTCTCAGAAATGGTTCCGGGGTCAGGTCTCTGTGCCATTGGACTCAGTCCAATGGTCATAATTTGGGAACAATTCAGATCCTCAACCTAAACCAAATATACAAAACTGCTGGGCAAGAGGAGACAGATACACTTAGCAAGTCATTTGGATCTTGCCAGTCCCTGAGGACTTGGTCCTTCAGCCATAACACAGAAATGGTTGAGATCATCACCACCCTATAATCCACCATGCTAACAGTATTAGCTCTGGAGTCTGGCATTAGTTCTACAGACTTGATTGCAATATTATTTTTAATGAGAATTTTGTTTGCCATGATTGCATCGCTATATATATGTATATCCTGGGAAATAATACAGGCCCTCTGTTCCTCTTGTATGCCTTTTTTCTTCTTAGTGTGACACATTGTGTTCTGTGTCATCCAGGGAAGGGAATCCCGGATGGTTTTGTACTGAGATTTTAGATGGTTTGGTTTAATTTTGTTTAACGTCCTATTAACAGCTAAGGTCATATAAGGACTTGCCTCCATGTGTGTAGTGTATATGCATGTTTGCGTGTGTGTATGCAGGAGACAGTTTATGTTGGTGTGCTTGAATATCAGAAAAATCTTCATTGAGTTCTGGACTAAATTATTGCCATATGCATAGGGTCTAAAGTGGCTGGACTTTCTTCAGGCTATGACACCTGACAGACATTTTGACAGGTAGATTCTGATGTCTGGTGTGGGACATCTATCTGTCAAAATATCTAAGTCTGGTGTCAGGACCAGAGCAAACTTGGGCTTATAGACCTAAAGTTTAAAAAAAAAATCATTGTTTGCCAAGAAAAAAAGAGTGCTCACTTAAAATATTTCATTGAAATTTTGAGCCCACTAAATGATCACAATATTTCCATTGAAGACATTAAGAAAATATGCGTTCAATCATTGTACAGTATGTTTGAGAAAATATAAATTTAATTTTTGGACTTTTTCCCGGACAGATGACTGACCGTGAAGCTGTAGATGATGTTCCTCCCGGTGGTGTCACAGGGTCGGGGAGTGCTGACGACATGCGACGAGAGCTTGCAGAGATACAGGCACAGTCTAACCAAGTCACTGATGATGTAAGATTTATTTTGCATACAATTCACTTGAGTCAAAATAATTGATTACAAAATATCCTAACATCACACAAACTCCCTCTACCAAATGGGATGAACTTGTCGTAACTATGTGAAATAGAAGTATTTAAATGCTCTGAATTTCAGTGTAATGACTAATTTTATATATATTAGTATTATGACCAGCTATTTTCTGCTTGTATTTATTAGTGAATTTGGGTTACACACGGCAGCACAACCTCACACAAGAATGAGTTCAATGCACAGAGGCACTTCACATGTTTGTATTAACACTCAATGTATTTTCCCTTCCTAACATGAGGTTCCCTCCCTTTGTAGACGTTTTGGAGACGAGCAAGTCTTATAAAATCTAAGGTGCCTATATAGCTAGCAATCATATGAGTATATATTGAACGAGTTTGAGAAAGACTTATAATTATGACCTCTTTCAATTAAATCACATTTTGAGCATATGTCAAAGAAGTTTGACAAAATCTTTCAACAAATCAATCGTTTAACACCATATTATGACAACAGAATGTCAATATCTATATCTGTCAGTGTAGGTGATTATTGCAGTGGGGTGCATCTTTTTTGATTGCTTGAGTGTCCTGCCAGGCAATACCTCAAGTAGGGGTCATTTGTGACTTACAAGGTCATTTGTGACTTACAAGGTCATTTGTGACTTACAAGTTTTGCAGTAACTTTTTCAGGCGAGACCTGAACATCATTAAATTCAAATTTTTAATGAGTGATTACTAAGAGATACAATGGGTTCTAAAAATGAAGACTCATCTTAAAGGAATATAATGTCCTTAAAATAACTGACAGAGTCATTGCCCTTCGTTCACTTTTGCTGCACAGGACTTTTGTCCATGTTCGCGTGACTTGATTGCATGCACTGTCTTGTTTAATGTACTGTACATGCTCAAAAGCATTCTGTCACTACAAACATCATTTTCAAGAAGAGAATGCTAGTATGCTGCTGCGACGATTTGGGGCTCAAATTAGCAATTCCTTAACTTATACACAATTAAAACCTGCCACTTACACACAAATAAAACCTGCCACAACTTGCCTGTTATGTACTGTAATGCTTCTGTTCAGCAATGTTGACTGAAAAAGAATATGCTTATCATTTTCTGTTCACTAACAGTGGTATAATGTTCTTTTCAAAAAAACTGTATGTATAGCAATGCTTTCAAAGTCACTTGTAATATATTTTCCTGAATGGTTCAATAACTGATAGGTAAGTTGTAAGTAGATCAAGTGGTTCTGTTATCCATCCAGTTGATTCAACACTGTGTTATGCTTTTATTTCATAAAGTACCCGAGCAAAATACAAACTACACAATGAAAGTATTTTGTCAATTTAAGAATGCATTTTCTAGAATTTTCCTTTGTCTTTTTCTGTGCATGTGGTTATAGACAGTATGCGTATGCGAGGGTATTTGTATTACATATACCTGTGTATGATTTTTCTGCATGGTCTATTGCTTAAAAGATGAAGAGGTGAGTAATACCAGCCTTCTGGGCCTCTTGTTAATGTGTGTTTGAAATTGGTGCTTAATAATTTCTGTTTTTTATGTTTCAGTCGCTGGAGAGTACGAGACGTATGATGCAAATGTGTGAGGAGGTAAGATGGCACCAATAACAAAACCTTGAACCCTTCTATATCATAACAATTAGGTAAAACTGACTGGTCAGCAATATCATCATACAAACAACTAGCTAAAACTGACCAGTCAGCAACACCATCATACAAACTAGCTTAAACTGATCAGTCAGCAACATCATCATACCAGCTAGCTTAAACTGACCAGTCAGCAACACCATCATACAAACTAGCTAAAAATGACCGGTCAGCAACACCATCATACAAACTAGCTAAAACTGACCAGTCAGCAACACCATCATACAAACTAGCTTAAACTGACCAATCAGCAACAACATCATACAAACAACTAGGTAAAACTGACCAGTCAGCAACATCATCATACAAACTAGTTTAAACTAACCAGTCAGCAACACCATCATACAAACTAGCTTAAACTGACCATTCAGCAACATCATCATACAAACAACTAGGTAAAACTGACCAGTCAGCAACATCATCATACAAACTAGCTTAAACTGACCAGTCAGCAATACCATCATACCAGCTAGCTAAAACTGACCAGTCAGCAACACCATCATACCAACTAGCTAAAACTGACCAGTCAGCAACACCATCATACAAACTAGTTTAAACTGACCAGTTTGCAACATCATCATACCAGCTAGCTTAAACTGACCAGTCGGCATCATCATCATACCAGCTAGGTAAAACTGACCAGTCAGCAACATCATCATACCAGCTATCTAAAACTGACCAGTCAGCAACATCGTCATACCAGCTAGCTAAAACTGACCAGTCAGCAACACCATCATACAAACTAGCTTAAACTGACCAGTCAGCAATACCATCATACCAGCTAGCTAAAACTGACCAGTCATCAACATCATCATACCAGCTAGCTAAAACTGATCAGTCAACAACATCATCATACCAGCTAGCTAAAATTGACCAGTGAGCAACATCATCATACCAGCTAGCTAAAACTGACCAGTCAACAACATCATCATACCAGCTAGCTAAAATTGACCAGTCAGCAACATCATCATACCAGCTAGCTAAAACTGACCAGTCAACAATCATCATATCAACTAGCTAAAACTGACCAGTCAGCAACATCATCATACCAGCTAGCTAAAACTGACCAGTCAACAACACAATCATACAAACTGCTGAATATCGTTCTTACTTATAAGGTTTCTTACATAACTAAGTAATTTTTATTTTTAGCTCACCTGGTCCAAAGATCCAGGGTGAGCTTATGCCATGCTGTGGTGACGGTTGTCTGTCACACTGTCAAATTGGGGGGCAGACCCTTTGGGAGCTATGCCATAATGCTTTAAGTGACTTTTCTTGGTAGGAACATCCTCATGGTCAGAAGTGATGATGAGAATTGTACAAACTAAAGAGATGTACCCCCAGGGGAGGGGCTAAGGGGTGGGTCAAAACGGAGTAGTTCAGCTATCTTTCTTTAGGTGACTTATCCCTTGCAACTATGAAATGGATATTTTGTATAAAGCTTTCACAGGTGGTAATGATTCAACACAATGGGTAATAATTGGCATATGGTTGAGATCCACACTATATGATAATACCTACTTACTAAGCTTGATAGCTCAGGGTTTGGTCTTTCCACTTAGTCCCTTGGTCATAACATGGAAGCCATTGAGATCGCCACAGTACCTCATGCCATATTATAATTTCTTGGCATGCAGAGATGAATATACTTATGCAAATACATATATGTATGGATATATATAATTATCTCCAGGAGTTATGACTTGGAAATAGTTGAGATCTCCACTTTAAACAAAAGAATTTACTCATGCTACCAAGATATGTGCCAAGGTTTTGCCCTGCCCCTGGATACTTATCCTCTGGGTCATAGCCCCTTTGGAATTAATCATAGTCCTTATTTAATGTTCTCAGCATTACATTTCTTTTGTCATACATGTGCCATATTTGACAGATTTTAGATTTGAAATAAAATTCCAGGTGAGTGATCTATGATCCTTTTTATTTTCATTTTTCTTTTTCAATATTTTCAGGTGTATATCTTCAACAACTGCTTAATTATCAATGACATCCCTAAAAGAATCTGATTGTAAACTTTGTAGTTATAAAACAACTATTTCAGTTAACTGGAAACCTTTTAATTAGTGATACTCTAATGGATCCCTACTTGAAGTTTTTCAAGATTGATAAACATCTTTAAATAATTTAACACAATTTTTTTTATCTGTTTTTATAATTTTATGGTACTTTGAAAATGAAGAGATAACATTCTTGAAAAGGTTTCTACAGAGTTTCATTTCTCCTGAAAGTCTCATTATGTTGATTAGCTAGGGAACATTGATACATGTAATAGTTTTGTGAACTTTGTGAGTCAAACAGCATGAGGGCGGTTGTATGTCTGGTATTGATTGCTGTGTTTTCTCTGCATGCCTTCTATAGAGTAAGGAGGCAGGCATCAATACCCTGGTCATGTTGGATGAGCAGGGAGGTAAGACAAAACTAAAATTTGGAATGCACCTGTGTCGTGATTTACCTTGTGTTTGTATCAGTATTTTAATTTTTATTACTTTCTTAGTTAGATGCAACATAATCGTAGACTTTTTTGAATATATTTATATTGTAACCATTACTGACTTTTGTTTTTCTTTGCATCCTCATCGGTGTCTTCTGTGTGTAATATAGAGTAAAGAGGTTGGCATCAAGACTTTGGTCATGCTGGATGAACAGGGAGGTATGGACCCGTTACTATAATATTGTATACATGTTCTATTTCTACCTAAACTCAGCTCTATACAAACATATACTGTAATAATGGGGCACGGAAAGGAAGTATATCAACTCTATGTAACATTAACTGCATTAATTAGTTTTGGAAAATACTGACCTTAAATTCGCTGTGTACTATAATACTAACAATACTAACTTTGATGTATGTCTGATATTTATTGTAAACACTTCAAGACTTGAAGCTTAACAATTACAGGATGTCAGTACTGTCACATACATCAGCATGTATACTAGCATTTGTCATAGTACATAACATACATTTTCGAATATATAAGTTATTTAGTAAGAAGGGGGGGGGGGGGGTACCCAAGTCTGTTGCCTCATGTCCCTTCACAACGCGTCCTGTCCCTTTCTTTCTCGTCATTTCCTGCTTCAGTGTCATGATTCTACCGACTATACTTAAATATAAAGAATACCTCTGTTGAGGTTATATTTCAGGGTCCCAAGGTCAATGCCAAGGTCACTTGTTATTTATAGGTCAACCACATGGCCAAGGGGCTAATTCATGTCTACAGACTTTTTGTAGTATTTGTGATGTAACAAACAATTTCATTGGTTAAATCTTTTGTGACTGTGAAACCAGGACATACCATCCAAAAACTGAATCATCAAAATTATGGATTGACAAACAACAATGTCAACACAAATTAAATTATCAATGACAAGGGGACAAAACTCCAAAACTTTGATGCTGTACTGAACAAATTGTAATTTGATAATAATTAAAAAGAAGAATTAAAAAATCTTTAAACTCTAGATCTTTCAGTATATTAATTGATGATTCCGATATTGTCAAGATATTTGTGTGTTTTTGTTAAAGGTTGACCACTGGGTATAGTGAGGCTGTCAGGTGTCGATGTGTTCCTTGTGTATCTGCATGCATTTTATTTCCTTATTTTACTTCCCATATGTTACCCCACACCTTTTTTCTCTCATGTGGAATACCTGCAAGATGTTACGATATCTTGCCCTCCTGTGGGTATCGGCCTAAACATATTTTCTTTGGTTATTACACTGTTCCGTTACACTTAGTGACAACAAAAATTACAATGTGACTTAATTACAATGTTTCACAGCGATTTCTGATCAACTCACGAAGCATGTGTTATTGTATAATTATGTAAAACACAATAGATCACTCAAACATTGTAGTCTATGTAGATTTTATCAAATTGCATGAGCCCTTTTTTTAAAAATCAGTCTTGATTATAAAGTATTTATGTAAATGTATTGAAAATATTTTGATGCAGCAGATAGTTATTGATTCCCCAGGATGAGTTGTTTGACTTGATACCTGTATGAGTGTGTTGTGTAGCACTCCATGTTCAATAGAACTGTATTACTTGTTCTCACTTGTCACACACTTAAATGTCTAGACTATCTTTCTTGTCAGACTCGAACACTTTTTCCTTGATACAGCAACTGCTATACCTCATCTGCTGTAAAGATTTTTAGCTTAACTCATTCACTCCTAAAATTTCATAATGAACTATTCCAACCTTTGAAATGGAAGAGTTCAAATGTGTCTTCAGGGGTGAATGAGTTAACAGATGTGCTAAATGAGCTTATGCCATGGGGATGTGTCCGTTGTCTGTCAATCCAATGTCAATTTTAAACTCACCAGGCCCAAAAGGCAATATTGCATGTAAAGTCTCTAACAGCTGTTTCTGAAAGTACAGAAAGTATCAAAATAAAACTTGATAAAACAAGATCAGTATAACCAAATATCATACAAGTGTACAGGCTGTCATTGACAAAACAAGTATTGTTATTTGAATTACCTAGGTTAATAAGAAATCTGATATGGCCACCATGATCTTGTTAGAATTTCAACCTCACAAACATAATAGGTGAGTGATGAAAATCTCATGGCCTTTTTTTTCTAAAGTTCTTGTTGGATATTTTGAAAGGAATGTGTATTTTGACAAAAAGAATCTAAAGTAGCCAAACTAACAAATGTTTATTGTAGGCAAGCTAACTGATGTTTGAAATGAACAAGCTAGCTGATATTTCTAATAGCCAAGCTAAATGATATTTCTAATAGCCAAGCTAACTGATATTTCTAATAGATAAGCTAACTGATATTTCTAATAGAAAATGCAAGCTAACTGATATTTCTAATAGCCAAGCTAACTGATATTTCTAATAGCCAAGCTAACTGATGTTTATGATAAACCCATGCAAGCTAACCTTTAGTAGCAAAGCTCACTGATGTTTATGCCAAGTTAAGTAATGTTTCTAGTAGCCAAGTTAAGTAATGTTTCTAGTAGCCAAGTTAAGTGATGTTTTTAGTAGCCAAGTTAAGTAATGTTTCTAGTAGCCAAGTTAAGTGATGTTTTTAGTAGCCAAGTTAAGTGATGTTTCTAGTAGCCAAGTTAAGTGGTGTTTATAGCAGCCAAGTTAAGTGATTGTTCTAGTAGCTAAATTGAGTGATTTTAGTAGCCAAATTGAGTGATTTTAGTAGCTAAGTTAAGTGATGTTTCTAGTAGCCAAGTTAAGTGATATTTTTAATAGCCAATCAACCATGTCTCTTGTAGTCTAGATAACTTATATCTGTGTAAGACACTTAGCTAACTGATGAGATTTACGGTTTACAGAACAGCTGGATAGGGTAGAGGAAGGCATGGATCAAATTAATAAAGACATGAAGGATGCTGAGAAAAATCTGGAGGGCATGGAGAAATGCTGTGGATTGTGTGTACTACCTTGGAAAAAGTAAGTGTATGATGTGTTACCGTGGAAACGGTATAAATCTGGCAGTTATATAAGTAACCAAGGAATTGGAAGTACATTCATTTGTTGTATTAATAATAGACTAGGAAAGCAGACGGTTGTGTTTACTGTATAAATAGCCTAGGCAAGCAGACGGTTGTGTTTACTGTATAAATACCCTAGGCAAGCAGACGGTTGTGTTTACTGTACAAATAGCCTAGGCAAGCAGACGGTTGTGTTTCCTGTATAAATAGCCTAGGCAAGCAGACGGTTGTGTTTACTGTATAAATCAATACATATACTGTGTGCATCCATTTTAGTTTACTTGGCCAACAAAGATCCATAGATATAATTAGGTCTGTAGATAAAAGGTGTTAACCCTTTCACCCCTATGTAACTTTAGTAGACTCTACCATGCATTGATCTAGATGAGTCCATTATGGTCTGCAGTGGTAAAAGGGTTAAGAATGAAATATTACAATAAGAGTATGCCTTGGATGCTTCCATCGCTCTGCTCCTTATTGATCTATATGTTACAGAGTAATGATATTTAGCGTATTGAAATATATTTGACCTTGACCTGAATTATTAAATATTTGGTTGTATTCGCCACTGTCATCAGTGTTGTGAACTTATTCGCTAGATTTCTGTTAAAGTAACCTCACAACGTAGTTAGGATGCATCAGATTTATTCATTATGAATGATAAAGATACAATACAAATCTAGGTGAAATTATGTACAATTAAACGGTACTTCTGACCGCTGATCAATATAAGTCAAATACTTGGTAGCGTGGATTGATATACAGCAAGTCAAAAGTGATCACCAAAACATACTGAGCTGGTCTGTAATGTAATCTACATTACAGTGAGTCTGCCTATTACATAAATATGTACTAGCTAAACATTAATATAGAATAGAAACAACATTTTATAATTAACCGACAAATGAATAGCTTAACGTTTATATTATTTATGGAAACCCTACGTAATAACAGTTTTTCTGACCACCAAAATCAAGTCCGATACAGGTCATCAGAAAATCAGAAAGATTTGACACAAGTTATAACATTTACTGTTATTAAACTAATAAAATACTAAACACAATTTCTGAAGTGATTTGACAGACTGTTCACGTTATGTGACTAAATCTGTATACAAACATATTTATCTGAAATATATGATAGAACTTAACTAATGTTATTTTCCGTGAAAGTATCCAATTCAGGACCATTGTTAACGGTTATAGATAATTAGACGCTATAAAAAACCTAGCTGTTAAAAAGTTTACTTAACACGAGTTGTCAAACAAGGCGGTTTTACAGTCAACCAACTTCTCTCAATATGTAATGCTATAAGTAAAAATTTAGGTGAATGTAAAGTTTTAGATTTATCTTTCTTGACATAAGCAACACTTTTGATAGGGTTTGGCATAGAGGATTATTGTATAAACTGAAAAAAATATAGTATCTTGGGTAATATCTATAATTGGTTTGAAAATTATCCAACTAATAGATCTCAAAAAGTAATATTTGAAAGTTACAGTTCTAGTCTTAAACATATTACAGCAGGTGTTCCCAAAGGTTCAGTTTTAGGTCCTTTTTACGGAGGCGTTTATAACCTGCCGTATTGAGATCACCTATTGGACGTGACGACAGTAATTTTTTCCAGCGGAAGTACCGAATTTGCAACATCTGGTGGTAACCTCCGTTACTGAAAATGCTAGTGAGACGACTTTTGTAGCACTTCGTTCATAGTATATGTAAGAAAAACTAACTTACTCGAATATCCTGATGATGTTAGTTTTTCAATAACAATAAGAATATTGACTTTAAAATCTTATTCCCTCCATCGATTTTTCAACATTTATCAAATTATAAAAAAAATAATGTTTGAAGGGAGAAAACTATGAGATAGTACACATAGTTAAATATGAGGACAAACGTTTCCCTACAAGAAAAATAGTTCCCATAACAGCGAAGCACAAGTATTGGATGAGTCCTACTTGTATTTATTAACAAGTGTTTGGGCCAGAGTGGGATCAGACTGGAAGGGGAGTGGGGGGTATTAGTCAGCCATCCTGGCGACAGTTCCATTTGAAAATTATCTGAAGTTCCAGTGTTTGATAAGCGGATAACTTTGATGGTTAATAGTTCTAAGTTTCAAAAACAAGTACTTGCTGTTGAATGTGTATCAATAATTGCGCTGGCATCTATAATTGCTTTATTTCAAATTTCACCTTTTACATTTCATTATTTTCCAATTATGTCCAAATATCTGACTAACGCCTCCTCATCAGTACTAACAGTACTTCAATTTTTTTCTTTTATTTATAAATGATATAATTTGTGAAGTTTCTTCTAATATAAAGCTATTTGCAGATGATACATCTCTCTATGTAATTGTAGATAATGATCCAATATCAGCTAGTGAATGATGATCTTGAATCAATTAATAATTGGGCTAATGAATGGTAAATTAATTTTAACTCTAAAAAACAGTAGGGCTTACTGTTTCCAAAAAAACACATTCACCATCCACTTATCACTTTTAATTATCATATGATAACTAATAGTTAATCTCATAAGCACTGAGGTCTAAATTTTAATAAATCCGGAACATGGAACAGTCTAAATTTCACAAATTACAAGTTAGAACAAACAATAACAGTCTCATACTGATGTGCAAAATTATTAACAATATGACTCCAGATCAAAGATACTTTAAAATACCATTTGCTAGAAAAAATATCTTTCAAAATAGTTTTCTTCCTTGCACAATGAATAAATGGAATCGGTTAAATAAGGAAATAACTGAATCACTCTCTTTGTCTAGATTTAAACGTAAATTAGGTAAAATGTCATCCTCCTTCGATGACGATGTAATTGATATGTTTAAATATTGCCAGCCTCGTAAACTTAATGTTATTTTATGCCAGCTTAGTAAAGCATAGGAGGTAAGTAATCTTAACTATGATAAGCATTGTGATCACTACATTGATAACTCTCAATGGACCTGTATGGGCATCAATCTGAGGATGTTCTTCATCCGTTCTTGTCCTCTCTATAATCATCTACATCATCAGCTATTTTTGATATATAACAGAATTGTCCACATTTCAGCTAATATGTTAACTAAAGGAAGTCATTTACTTGCCATTGATGATAATCAACTCATACTAGATAATGTATCTACGTACATCCTCCTCGAACCTGTATGGTGAACTTTGCTAGCTGTCTTTCTTCCTCTCGAATCTTTTGACGCAGCTCCCGAATTTCTCCTCTTGTTCTTTTCGTTTCCACTTCTCTGTCTTGAGTTCTCTCTCTTGCTTGTCTATCTTGCTCTGTAGCTGTTGTTCTTTTTCTTCCCTTTGGTAAATCCCTGCAGTATCATCGCATAACTCTAGCATGTCATCCATCAATTGGTCATTGCATGGAGCGGGGGTGTCTGCTACCATCACTTTCTCCTCTGGTTTACTTTCTTTACTTATCCTTACAGCCTTGCCCAATTCCATTCTATATGGCCGTCTGCTCTTCTGGAAGTAGTCGACTTCCCTGCATATTGAAGATTTCTTCTTGGCCTCCAGGTGAGGAAGATACCCCTTACAAAGTCGCACCAGGTCATTCCTTGTCAAGGTTACGAACTGGCACAAATTAAACTGCATCTGAAGGGCGCCTCACCTCCTCTATGGTTCTATATGTTGGACGATAAAGTGTAGAATTGCACTGTTTTTCTTTGAAGAAGTAAATTTAAAGTTGGAACATGAGTAGTGCGTAGCCATCCTGCAATATATAAAATCATGCAACAGTTCCACTTTTATGAATTTGGTAGCCCATTTAGGCCTTTCTCCTTCATATTTCTTGAGTCTATTAAAATGAATATTTTCCTGTCACCTTCTGTTCTGTATAGAGTACACGTCACTGGGCTCAATACTTTGGTGATGACATATAGTCCTGACCATGCTGACTTAAACTTTTTTATGGATTGGTTTCAATTTGTACACTAAATCTCCCTCCCAAAACATTTGTTCCGCTATCATAGTTTTGTTTTTGCAGCTGAGTACATGTACATTCCCCAATTTCTCGCGAGCAATGCGATACATTTTGTCCAGGTTTTCTTTAAGGTTCTCCACATATTCTGTAGGCAAATAATGTATTGGTTCCTCTGGCTTCGGAAAAATTATATCCAGGGGGTATTAACCTCTCTTCCGAACATCATGACATTTGGACTGAAACCAGTTGCTTGGTGTTTGGTTCTCCGATAGACTGCCATAAGTAATTCAATATTTTGATCCCAATCCTTCGGATTTTCACACAGGAAGCTTTAATCATCTTAGCCAGTGTCTGGTTGAAACGCTCTATTATCCTATAGGATGCTGGGTGATAGGGTGTAGTTCTTGTCTTTGAATTCTGCAGTAATTGACAGACTTCTTTGAATAAGCAACTGTCAAAATTGATTCCTTGGTCGGTATGAATTTTCAGTGGAGTACCATAGTGTGAGGTAAAGTCTTTAACCAGTTTCTCTGCCACTTTCTCGGCGGTTCGATGAGGCAATGGATACGCCTCCACCCACCCACCTTGTAAAATGGTCACCAATGAGCAATATGTTCTGATTCTGGCTCCTAGTACGAGGCAATGGACCAATAACATCTAGTGCTATCCTGTCTAGTGGATATCCTACTGGGTAATCTTAAATCAGTGCATTCTTTTTAGAAGTCAACGATTTCCAACGATTGCAGCTTTCGCACTGTAAAATATGTAGTTTAATAGTATCTCCCATTTTGTACCAATAGAACTTCTCCTTTATCTTTTCAGTAGTCCACTGTATTCCTGGATGTACAGCTAAGGTATAGAGTTATAACATTTAAGCAGCACTTCCTTCTGTAATATCTTTGGTACTAACAGTTGTACTTTATCCTGTTCTGGTGCATTGGATCTTTAGACCACATACAGAACTCTATCCTTGCAAACAAGGTTACTCTAGTTTAGCCAGAACTTCCTGACTGTCGGACTTAACTTGGCCATCTCATCTCGAGTTGGAAGAGTTCCTTGTTTGCACCAGTCATGAAGTGTTCTAAGATCGCTGTCTTCTTTTTTGGAAGTTTACAAGATCCCTGGAGGAATATCCATCCATCCACAAACTCTTCTGTTTCATTGGTTTCTTAGGTGTCCTTGTTACACTTCTGACCTTGCTACCAAGAGGAATGACATCCACCTTAAATCTCTTCCATTGGTCCTCGAGTAACTGACATGTATTGTGGCCGTCGGACACAGTCCTTCCCAGTTTAAGGAGTTGTTTTTCCCAGATATCCTACAATCCTTGTTATCATTTTGCTTGTCCTTTAGCAACGGACAACCTTTCCGGTAGTGCCCCTCCTCGTGACAACCAAAGCGTACATTGCTCTGAATTGTAGTCATCTTGTAATTGTTGTATCTTCGACGAGTGTTCTTTCCGTCAGAAATCATATCATTGATTTCCTTAATGTCCTTGGATATCTTCTCATTCAAGTTCCTTTTAAACTGTTGAAGTCTCTCTTCAGTGACATATTTACTATGGCCCATCCTTCTGACGTCTGAAGTATCTCTTCAGTGACATATTTACTATGTCCCATCCTTCTGACGTCTGAAGTATCTCTTCAGTGACATATTTACTATTGCCCATCCTTCTGACGTCTGAAGTATCTCTTCAGTGACATATTTACTATGGGCCATCCTTCTGACGTCTTAAGTCTCTCTTCAGTGACATATTTACTTTGGCTCGTCCTTCTGACGTCTGAAGTCTACCTTCAGTGACATATTTACTATTGCCCATCCTTCTGACGTCTGAAGTATCTCTTCAGTGACATATTTACTATGGCCCATCCTTCGGACGTCTGAAGTCTCCCTTCAGTGACACATTTACTATGGCCCATCCTTCTGAAGTCTGAAGTCTCTCTTCAGTGACATATTTCCTATGGCCCATCCTTCTGACGTCTGAAGTATCTCTTCAGTGACATATTTACTTTGGCTCGTCCTTCTGACGTCTGAAGTCTACCTTCAGTGACATATTTACTATGTCCCATCCTTCTGACGTCTGAATTCTCTCTTCAGTGACATATTTACTATGTCCCATCCTTCTGACGTCTGAAGTATCTCTTCAGTGACATATTTACTATGTCCCATCCTTCTGACGTCTGAACTCTCTCTTCAGTGACATATTTACTATGGCCCATCCTTCTGGCGTCTAGACATTCCTGTTCCTCGGTTGCGAGTGACACCTCTCTCGTGTGATTGTTCTTTTTCACTGTAGACTTGCAGAAAGAAAAAAAATGTTAGTAAGTTAATACTAGCTTCTTCGAGGTTCCTCTGTTAAAACAACATACAAAATGCTGGAGTCTGAGATACCATTCAGCATGTATTTCATACACAGGTCATCATATAGTGCTCGGTTTATACTAGGGAAGGCTTTCCTGACCATATTCTCAATTCTTGATGAATTCGGTGCCAAGGATTCCTCATTCCTCATACGGGCATTTTGTAAATTTTTTTGTAGATTGGGTCAATGAGAGGTAGTACATAACCCCGATCCATTTCTTTACAAAATTGACTAAGGTCTGCCCTCGCATATGCTTGTAATCTCGTGAAAATGCCTCGTCCCTCACATATAACAACAGTTCTAAGCACTGCCTGAATTCATCCCATCCAAACCTTGCTGCTACCTAGTTGAATGGTACAATGAATGCCTGCCAGTCTCCCTTGCCGTTGAAAAAAGAAAGCTTGGTGTCGCGCTCATTTCCACCTCTGCAGGAGGATGACGAAGACCTGACAGTGATTTGTCTATCTAAGCCTTGATTGTTCTGGGGATAGTCGCTGGAATAATGACCTGACAGTGATTTGTCTATCTAAGCCTTGACTGTTCTGGGGATAGTCGCTGGAATAATGACCTGACAGAGATTTGTCTATCTAAGCCTGGATTGTTCTGGGGATAGTCGCTGGAATAATAGGTTGGCAGAGCATTGGTTCTGTTGTCCCTGTTGGATGCCTCCGGTCTGTACTGTGGTGCATTTTTAAAAATGTCCTGGTGCCTGTCCATTTGAGGCGGTCTTCTGTATGACTTGTCGTAAGATTGGTGTCCTTTGCAGAATTCATGAGATGTCCCATTACAGAATTCGGGGTTTGCTCCATAACGGAACTCATGAGATGTCCCATTACGGAATTCGGGGTTTGCTCCCTTAAGGAACTCGGGATGTATTCCATAACGAGTATCATGTGGTGCCCCATTACAGGACTGTACTCCAGTCCTGCATCTATTGTAGTTTGGAATTCATCAACAAGACTCCAACGACCACTGTTTTGGTTTTCTGGTGGCAATCTTGTAACCTGCCTGTCATCTTGAGTTCCATTTATTATTGGAGGGTGTCTACTTCCATGACGCTCGGGATTGGAGATTCACATATCGCATTGCTTTGCAGAGAATTTGATTCATGCACTCTTCCGTGAATCATCAATCTTCCCCTCCCATTTAAATCGTTGGTAGCTTCCTATACTAGCACCAATAAAAAATTACCAAAAGGTCACCGATGTTAGATGTGAGGCGAATAGTAAGTGAGCAAAGCAGGCCCTTTCGGCCCCTTGTTTTATATAATATATTTTGGAAAACTAATGCCTGTCAATATTTTGTATTTGTTTCAGAACAAAAAATTTCGAAAAAGGAGGTGAATATGCAAATATTTGGAAGTCCTCTGAAGATGGCAAGGTGAACACAGATGGTCCACGTATGATTGTGGATTCAAGGAATGGGGCCGGGCCCCAAGGAACCTTTCTTCCAGTGTTAGTATAACTTAAAGGCATCCAGAGTCATGTCAAGGGTCTCTAGACTGGTTTTGTATAAGACTTCAGAAAAGTTTAGGTTTATTAATGCAAATGTAAAGTGTTTTGTTTGAAGAAAAGCGTTTGAGTTCAGATGCATGAAGATTGTTTTAACAAGTTGAAGAGTATATAATCTAAGAAAGCTTACAGGGTTTACAGAGAATACTTGAAAAAACAATATGCATTGTTGACTATTTGATGTTGATAGTTTCCCCAAAAGACATATTGCAGTGGCTTTTGATGAAATATTTACTTATCAATATACAACTTGTGCCGTTTGATGTAGAATTACAAAAGATGCTCGTGAGGACGAAATGGAGCAGAACTTGACAGAAGTCAGTGGCATGCTGGGTAATCTAAGGAATATGGCTGTAGACATGGGCAGTGAGATCACCTCACAGAACCGACAAGTGGAAAGAATCCAGTCAAAGGTATGTGATGTTCCCATCTCCTCACCTCTCCCTATGTAATACTACTGTATTGACTCCAGATCTGCCTCAGTTACAAGTCCACACCCTCATCTGTACATCTCTTTTGAGGTCACCTGAGACAAAGTGTTAAAAAGATACATTTTACAACAACTGAAACAACAACTGACAATTGGTCGAGCGTCTGTCTAGAGTTCCGAGGGTCCAGTCTGGCTGTGAATTTTTCCGCCCCTAATACAATTTGTGAAGCATTGTTCATTCCTTACTAAAACATGATTGTAGTTACTGTGTATAATGTAAGTTTGTTGACAACATTTGTATAAAAGAGAGTTTTCTCACATTTTAGAATTCGGCCTACGTAAACATTGATATTAAATATTTACTGTATAGAAAATCTGTTTAACAATTGCCTAATATTTCATTTCAGGCTTCATCGAACGAAGTGAGAATTTGCGAGGCTAACAAGAGGGCTACGAAGATCTTGAAGGAGACTTAATCCTGTATTCATCAGCTCCAGTTTTCATTTGTAGGCAGCTTTATGTCTTAGACCCTCTCCTCTCTCAATATGTAGTCTCCTTATCCAATTTTCTCGCCTGGTATCATTTCGTGTTTTCCGCTATATAAAGTAGTACTCCAACTAACCAATTTATACTGTAGATGCTTTATTAAATGAATTTGAATACCCTAATGTTAGAAGTTCAGCTCTACATTGGAAATGTACCATGAACAAGTTTGATATCCACTTTTAACCAAATATTTAAATTTCCGTAGAGTAAAACTTTTGTTGTATATTCCCATATAAACTGTACTATTGTAGTATACTTCTCTAAACTGTTTCATGATCAGCTGTTAATTTACCCAGAAATATTGTCACATGACAGTGTGTGTGATCAGCTGTTAATTTACCCAGAAATATTGTCACATGACAGTGTGTGTGATCAGCTGTTAATTTACCCAGAAATATTGTCACATGACAGTGTGTGTGATCAGCTGTTAATTTACCCAGAAATATT